CTAACTAGCGAACCAACATGTATCACTCAAACACAGGTAATGGCTTTTGATTTACTATGCTCGAAGTGTCACTAAACAGACTCGAAGTCGTCTTAGTAGAAGTGGCTGCCTCAGTGGAAAGTCTGTAAACAAAGGGAAAAAGTTGGTAACTCTTAAGCTAATTGCCATCATTCACTGTGTGATGGATGTTAAATAACTGTTAATTAACTGTCAGAAGACTGTAATTCGGTGTTCGTTGTCCTTGTTATTCTTCAAAATGGTACATTTGTAACCTTACCTGTATTCTTTCAGAAATAGGTTACTATGATGCATATTAATAAGTTTGAATTAGCTCATCTATACGGGCAATCTCAGTCTTCACTTGATTGCTTCCTGTCATCTAATGCTCAAAATCATAACACACTAATCGCTAAATCATCCGATTTTTACTAGCCATTCTCCAGGTGGATGTTTTATCACGTAGAGAAAGGAAGGCGATGTAGCTCGCTATCTGTCTGATTATACTATTCGTCGAGTTAACGGCTGATTCTGGCGCCTTATTTAGTTGGAAAATATAAATTTAGTAGGTTTGTTCTAAATTATTGCATCCTCAATGAGCTAGCTAGCTAGTGTGAGGCTGAATCTCAGAGTCTAGAGAGGAGTGCAACTATGGCATAGAAAAGAGTGACTAAGATGTTATGGAACAACTTTGTCTCGAATTGGTTCTGTCTGCAATCACACAGCATAATCTACTGTCAACTGAGAGATTAATGTGCTAGATTTACTAACACATCTCGCCGCCACTGTGGATTGGATTGTGGAGAATAAGCGCTCCCTCTTGGTTACTCCTGAAGATCCAATTCGCTAAACTTTTATTTATATGACGTGCTGCCTATTTATCACATTAGTCAATGAAAGCTTTATAATTACACATCTAAGGTTCTACATTGGTAGACAGTGCTAATTATATATGTCCTCGCAAGAAAGTCGAAAATGTCATTTTAAATCGTCCTAAGATTGTGCAGTACGAAGTTTTTGCCTCGGTTTAATTCATACTAATATTCGCTTACTCTCGATATGCGAATGGTGTATAACCAAGGAAGTTTTATCGTCCATGCGGAACAGAGTGCAGCTTTCTGTAAACTCTACTTGCATTATGCGGACAACATATGCAGGTAACACACATTTGGACTAAAATGTCGAATACTCGCATCAAATATTAGTTTCTGCAATACACACTTTGTTAAGCGTTCCAAGGTGAGTTAAGAACTGCCCAATCAGTCAATCTACCGCTTCTCAAATAATGCATCGTAACCTAGACGTTTTGACTCCATTTCGTATTTCTTTACTTGATGTTGACCGAGTCGAGTCCGAACGAATGTGTCCCTATGTATATAGTATCAAGGCGCAACCACAGTCCCATATACTTGCACTAATCATGATAAATTTAGTTGTGACCAATATATAAATACTATGCTCACTGACACTCTTTCAGTCAATATTACCGGTAACTGCATAAAACTTATCAAAAAGGAAGAGATTTTGTCAAAGTTTCATCTCCACGAACAATTTTTATTACACAATTTCAGCAAAATAACAACATTCCAATAATTCCAAAGACTATTCACTTATTATCTTCACACGCATGGAATTTAGTTCACTAAGATTTTTTCAACTGTGTCCAACTGACGAGATATATCTTCGTTAATATTGTCATCATCTTCCCAAGGTTCTTTCAATTTATCTCCCCTATCAACTTCAGCCATACTATTCGGTGCTTTCTGTAAATTCTCTTCTTTTGTCTTCTGATTCATTGGTTCGTTGAAATTTTGCGTCAACTCATCACTTTCTGATGTCTCATATGCGTAAGGCTCATTGTTCATTGAGTTGTCAGCAACACTTTCTAGTGTATTTGGTTCATTTTCAATCGAAATCGGATACTGGTGTGACAACATTTCATTCCAGTCTTCAGGTGATCCTTTCTCGTGGTCTTGGAGATTGTTTACAGAATTCTCATTGATAGCATTAATGGCTGTTGTCATTGCGAGTATAGTGTATAACAGTAAGACAGGAGACATGCTTTCAATTCCTATAAGATGGTAGACTGACAAAACTTTGCGAAACTTTTTGTTATAAATATAAAATATTTACAAGGTCGTCCGTCGTGAGTGGTATTCACTTCTGCCCTTGTTTCAAATTACTTCTATAAATGCCTTTCAATTGGTCAACAATGATTTCTACTCACGTATCTGAATTTTCACATTCAACGTTGAATTAGTCATTTGAATTGTAATCGATAGTGTCTGTCAGTGGTCAAAGTGATGGTCAAAAATTTCATTTGCCTCGACAAAATTTAATTTAGTCTATAAATGACTGCTGATTGGTCAGATAATTAAAAATTGATTTTATTACATTGTGGGAGACTGCACTATATTGTTTGTGTTAACAGTGAATTCAAGCAAATGATACTGTAGACATAGAAATGGAGAATATATATATATATATGCAGCCAATAGAATCCATGGATATAGTAGCGATTTCCTAGGCGGTGATAAATAGCCGAACAATAATCTTTAGGAGGAAGATGTTTACGTGTCTTTATCAAATAAATTTATTCTTATTCAAGTGTTGGGTTGTAGGGATTCGATTGGTTTACAGGATTTCATCATGAGATGACATTGGTTAGAGAACCATTGAAAAACCAACCTGGGAGTACTGGACAGCTGTTTCGTCAGCCTAGTTTGGGAGTCTTCATCAGTACGCACCCACCGGGATTCGAACCCAGGTTCTAGTGAGAAGTCGTGACCAGTAGGATTTAGCAGGATGGTTGTGAGGACAAATACGTGCCAAAGACATTGGCTAGGTGTCGCGCTATGTCGTGAATCTCAGAGTTAAATTGTATTCTAATATCAGTAAGAAAGAGAATAACATTATAAGCAGAAATGTTGGCCCAGTTATGCATGGTAAAATTGAGATACCATATTAGGCACTGGGTTCGTGCTTCGGTGGAACCATCAACACCCACTGCGCAATGCAGTTATATCCAGTGACGAGTCTTAAATAGGACAAAATGTGCATCTTGGATTCCAGCACTATTGTACTCTAGTACTCTCCATTAATCTTTCCTGGGCTTCTCAAAAAAGACTCTATCATATTACGAAGAGTATCAAATGCTGTGAGTAGGGCATGTGGTCTGCCACTGCATGAGCTCGCCAATACTATAGTCGACAGGCATATAAATTCCTGTACAAAATGGGCAAAGGCTGTACTGTCAGACCCTCTGCACCCCCTTTATTCACTCTGTTAGACTCTGTTAGACGTGGAACACATAAGTTACTGTGTAATTAGCACAGTGAATCGACCCTTTCATTGTTCATCTTTCTTTATTTTATGGTGTAACAACAGAAGACAAGGGCCAGGCAACAGATCGTTTTATTATGAAAATCAACACGTATTTATACATCTTTCAACTACATTATTATAGACAAGCGCAGTCATCTGATTGGTTGTTTAGGTAGACAAACGCAGGCTTCTGATTGGTTGTTTCGGGATTCCTTGACAAATAGAGTTCTCTCTGCGAATCATATTCTGCCACGTTAACTTTGCTGTGATTGGTTGTTGACTCAGGCTTGTTCATATTTTCTCACGGCCCATATTAGTGACCTAGACCTTAACGTAGATTAGTGCCAACCAATCGGCTAGCAGCCTGCTCTCACCACACTCGTCCCCCCGTCAAATACGTGCGACTGAAGTCGGCTTGATCTACTTGGTGCAGGCGTCATCGTTGGCTTGTCTCGCTGTATCCATTTCTGGAGCTCGCTGACGTTCACGCGCCTCTCATTGTTTGCCATTGCGACTGTGTCTGCGTAACCCCATCTCGAAGTGACCATATATGGTCCTTCCCACTTTGGAAACTGTTTGCCTGACCCTGTCACACATTCGTCGGTATTTCGACTCACACTTTCATATGCTGCTTTCGCCCGACCTCCCAGCAGCGTCTCAAGTAGCAGCTCCATCGCTGACAGATTTTGAACGCCACTCAACTGCGCAGAAGCCTTGAAGTCCTGCCCGAAGATCCATATGTCTCCATCAAAAACTGCAGGGTATAGGCTTTTCATTTGTCGGTAGGCAGCGACACCAAATGTAACAACAGAAGACAAGGGCCAGGCAACAGATCGTTTTATTATGAAAATCAACACGTATTTATACATCTTTCAACTACATTATTATAGACAAGCGCAGTCATCTGATTGGTTGTTTAGGTAGACAAACGCAGGCTTCTGATTGGTTGTTTCGGGATTCCTTGACAAATAGAGTTCTCTCTGCGAATCATATTCTGCCACGTTAACTTTGCTGTGATTGGTTGTTGACTCAGGCTTGTTCATATTTTCTCACGGCCCATATTAGTGACCTAGACCTTAACGTAGATTAGTGCCAACCAATCGGCTAGCAGCCTGCTCTCACCACAATGGTGTCACACTTTCTATCGTTTAATTGTTACTCTGCTATTTTATTTTACTTGTTATTTCTATTATAACTACAATTTTATACTTTATGCATATTTTTCTCCGTATTGCACACAGTATTTTGCTATGTAGCTGCTATAACAAAGTTTTATTATTATTATTATGTAATGTTTATTTTTATTATACTTTTTGTCGTTTTTTGAGTAAATTAGATGCAATATTGTACTGAATGCTGAAAATTCTTTGCTGTATCATTATCACTGTTTTTTGGAATAAAGGAAATTATCATTATCATTATATTGGTAAAAAGACGCCAACTAGGGAACCAACATGTATCACTCAAACACAGGTAATAGCTTTTGATTTTCTATGCTCGAAGTGTCACTAAACAGATTCGAAATCATCTTCGTAGAAGTGACTGCCTTAGTGGAAAGTCTATAAACAAAGAGAAAAAATTGGTGACTTTTAAGCTAAGTGCCATCATTCATTGTGTGATGTTGAATAACTGTTAATTAACTATCAGTAGACTGTAAATATCTGGAGAGCAGGACAAATATGGTGAAGAACGAGTTGAATAGTGCTCCAAACATTTTAAGTGAATCCTACTATGAAAGCAGAACAGTTCGAGAAATTCTCATAGCCATCGGTAACAACTTTTCACGTTCTGTTGGCCTACTTGACAAATATATACCACACAATGATAATAATGTGGACAAATTTTGCGATTCTAATCATAATAAAGCTTCCGGTATAGAGAAAGATACAAAATCTTCGCCGAGTCAAGGAAGAAGTGGTAATGCGTAGTACTTGGAGGAAAAGCGATCGCATTTCTCTCGAACTTTTTAATCAGAAGATCCAAGCAATCAAGTTACCTTGCCGAGTTTTACTGTTCAAAATAAACGATGATGCGACCGGATCAATGAAATATCCATCGAAAATCGGCTAACAAATGGATGATTCAAAAGAAACACCTCAATCAATACCACTGAGGGATTTATCGGTGAGTGTAAACGGTGTACAGGCTTCTTTTGCTGATGATGACAAGGCCTACTATTTATATGATGTTGATAATGATGAACAACGTAAAGTCACACAGATCCACTGGACCTTATTCAAAATCCTACAGATATTCTGTTGCAGATCAATCTGCGTCTAGAGATTTAGATAATGCTACGCCAAAAACACTTGCACTGTGCAACCGTTATCCGTGTCATTATGGCTTTTATGTCTATTTTCCATCAACAACCATCGATGATGATGATGATGATTTAATTCCATTTCATCGGAAAGCATTTATGGACAAGGTATCACGCCTACAAAATCCAGAGTATGTTAAAGAAGTTCTCGGAACTAAATGTACCCATGATGCCTATTCTGATCGACGGATACGTTCAATTGAATGACTTTCTGGTACAGAAGTACATTTAAGTGATTTGAATCCCACCAGCATATGTATTAAAGGCTTACCGAGAAGACGTTTAACCATAGCTTGGGCCATCATTTATAAATATTTGTTGTGCATTAAGTTTATTTGAAATTTTATTACCAAGTGTTGTAATAAAAGGTGCTATATTCCCCTATCGAATACCAGAAGGTTCATTGACACGCTTTCACGCTGGTAAACGAACGAGTTCAGTATACCATTGGATTTATGGAAGGCCGAATGGTTCAGTTTACTTGAGAAAACAACTAGTTGATAAGGGGGGGTTGGCGAAGCTTTCTTCCTCCATGTAAAGGTATTACTGCTGAAAGAATATAAACTGTCTCTCATTGCAAGTTATCACTGATGGCTGAGATAAAAATAATAATGGCATACAGTTCTATAACATTACATTATTACGTCATAAGTTTAACTTAATAACTATGCTTACTTAATTTATGCTTTTTTATTTATACATCATATTTAGACATAAATTGTTCGCTTCCCTAATCAATTACTTATTTTTTTTCATTCGGTTAACTAAGTTTATGTGAGTGAGCTTATCTATATAAATATATATATTAGCAAATAAAGGGAACACCAATAGGATCGCCCATATCAGGAGTAATAGCTGAAGTCGTCAGGCAAAGATTAGAATTAATAGCTCCACCTATAATTAAACGGAAAATCTGGACAGGTACGTTACATTGATGATACATTTGTAATAATTAAGAGAAATAATTTAGAATATACCCATAAATAAAGCAAATTATCATTATCATTATGAAAACAGAAGATTTAGAACAAGATCAAGTCGACATCAGGGATTCTGATCTGTTTACCGCCTAAAAAAGTAATGTGAGTTGTGATCAACAAAATATGACAAATTCATGTATCTCTAAATGTTGTTCTTATACCCTTAATAATTTTCTTTTTAAAAATAATTATTATGACAATGAATGCAAAGTTTAGATATATATAAATATAAACATATAAAACTGAAATGAATTTACAAGTTAAAAGAGTAGAAGCTTTCTAGATGATGTGAAAAGTAATGCGGCGAAAAAAGTTCCACTTGTTAACGCAAAATTACATCAATGTTTCTTTATTTTATACTTGAATATATATTTTTCACTTCTTCAATGGATCATTCTTAAGGTAATCATTCCAACTGCAAATGATACTATCCATAGATATCTTGATGTAATAGCAGTAGTAGTAGTAGGTGCTGAAATTATAAAAGTAGTTTATAGAGATTAATTAGAAAAAATTTCGGCATAAGAATAAAACTTGTGCACTATGGTGGAGATAGGATAATTATACATCTCGTCCAACAGTTAGTTGTACGACAATGCTGCATACCAAGTAATCCACAACGGGAAACTTACATAAGCCATGGAAGTGAGGACGGGTGTGAGGCAAGGCTGTCTACTATCGTCAATAATCTTCCTGATTGCAGCAGATTAGATAATGTGACAGAAAACGGGTAATGAGGAAACAGGCATAAAATGGACTCATACAAAAACTTGGGGGATCTGGACTTCACCGATGCGATACATATGTCTCATTTCCCAAAAACTTGAAGATATGCAAGTGGAAATCAACAAGTTGGCAGAAGAAGCATCCAGAGAAGATAGGACTTCAGGTGAACATAGAGAAAACAGAGGTGATGAAGATTCTTGGCCAACACTAACAGCAACAACAACAGACAACAATCAGTATAAATGGAAGGAACCTGAAAGAAACAACCTCCTTCACCTACCTACCTACCTGAAGAGCATCGTTTCAACTACAGGCCGACAGAACTGACGAGGATATCAAAGCCAGAATTGGAAAAGCAAGACAAGCTTTCATTACTCTTAAGTCTGCGTGGAGGTCAACAGTACTCAGCATCAAAAATTAGATCCGGATTTCCAACTCCAATATGAAGTCAGTGCTACTTACTATATGGATCAGAGACTTGGCCGGCGCGTCATAAAGAGTATCTCAAACAAACATCAGACCTTCATTAACAGCTGTCTTCGCTCAATACTACTCAAGATCAGATGGCCAGACAGAAAAGATCAGCAATAGGGATCTCTAGTAGCGAATCAACTAGGAACCGATTATGCGACAAATAAGCGAGAGGAAATGGAGGTGGATCGGGCATACTCTGAGGAAACCATCAAGTGACATCACTAGACGAGCGACTGCTCGAGTGAAACCCGACTGAATGAGAAGCGGCAAGTCGGTCATCAGTGCGTGGGTGACATGGAGGAGGTCGTGTGAAGAGGAAATGGAAGCCTGTGGACAGACTTGGAACGGAGTGAAAAAGTTGGCAAAAACCGAAGGCAATGGAGACGCGTGGCTGAAGCCCTATATTCCTCTGGGATTTAAAGGATATAATAATAATACTGTGGTGGAGTAAAGTTCCATTATAGCTGAAATTTATTTTGATAAAGTCTCACTCAGTGTAATAATACAGTAATATGTATACTGATGACCACGTTTCAACCACAATTTAGCTCTACTCATAATCATATCACGGTACTACTCACACAACTTTCTAACCTCGTTTATATAATTCCATTATTTGTCATCGCTCGATTTGATGATTGGCAGTAGTACTTTCGATATTTCTGGGATGAGTGATGAGTCATTTCTATTGCATGTGTTGTGTTGGGTGTAGATTCAATGAACAAGGATCCAGTACCTCTCAGCCTCCCTCTCTCCACCCGCCTATATTACTTCTTAGAATTTTAACCTTCTCTCACTCTATTGTATGGTTATGTGTTAACGCATGTAGTGCAATTGCTGAGCTTTTTTCTAAATTACTTATCTTCACGGTTTTAATCATTCTAACCTTAGCTAAATTCTTATGATCTGAGAATCTGACTACCCCTGACCTACTAGTTTGACCTATATAGTTGACTTAATTGACAATCATTGCAAGATATTTTGTAAATTATATTATTTTGTCTAATTGGGTCAGCGGACAGTGTCCTTTAACCTACAGAGCTTGTCCTACCTGAGTGAGTTTGTAAATTCACCCTAATGCCACCCTAATTTCTGCTTTATTAATAATCCTACGTAGGGTCTCAGATACCTCCTTCCTCCTTATATGGTAAAACTACTGTAGATGCCTTATATTCTCTCTCTTACTTATTTGATCACTATTAGTTTCAAAATTATTTTTATTTCGCTTTTGACCTTTTCTGATCTTCCTAATGAATTTTGTAGGATAGTTGTTTAACACTGACGCTTCTTCTATCTGCTTTATTTCATCATTTAGGTGTTTTGTTGTACCAATTAGTGCTACTGCCTGGTTTGTCAGACACTTAACTAAGCCTGCCTTAACAGTTAACGGAGAGGGTTAATATTCTAAGAAGTAATCTAGATAGGTGGACAGAGAGGTTGATTACTGAATCCTTGTTCATCGAGTCTACACCAAACACATGCAATAGGAATGATTCATCACTCATATGGAAAATACTACTGCCAATCAAATCAAGAGAAAAATAATGGAACTCTTTAAATGAAGTTAGGAAGTCGTGTGAGTGAGTACCTCGATATGATTATGAGCAGTAATAAATTGTGCTCGAAACGTCATCAGTAAACATTACTGTATAACACTATGAGACTTTATCAAGACAAAATTTACGCATAATGGAATTATACTCTACCACCACAGCGCACAAGTTTTATCCTTATATGATTGGGACAGACAGTGTCAGATTACAAGATGAACCACAAACAATCGACTCTTTTAGTAAGTCAGAATGAGCACCAACTGCCGTAAGAGGGCATATATCCACTAGTTCAAACCCATCTTTGAAAGATAGAATAAAGAGGGGAGAAAAGACTTTTCTCAGCTGGGAATTTGATTTTAAAAAAAAAGGTGGACAAAACCAAGAAGGATGCAACAACGTCATTCAAAAATAAAGTAAATAAATTCCTCAAAGAAATACTCATCAAGAAACTGATTGACAACAAAACGTACAGTGAACTCAAATCAAACCATTTATGTACGGTCTACCAAAAATCCATAAGGCCAACGTGCCCTTAAAGCCCATATTATCAATGATAAATTCACCATGCCACAAACTAGTCCGATGGCTAGCTGATTCATTGAAGCCAATTCGACAAAATTTTCAGATCATAGTTTGGATGACACCTTCCAATTTTCTAAAGAAGTCGATCACGTTGGCATATCAGATAAACTGATGGTGTCATACGACGTGGCTGCCTTATTCACAAATGTACCAGTGATGCAAACAATAGATATCATTTGTAAGCAAGAGATCTATTGCCATTACCGGAGTCAGAGATAAAAAACGGCTACTAATTCTTTGCACAAAAGACATCCAATTTAGATTCAATAACCAATTCTATGAACAAATTAACGGGTTAGCCATGGGTTCACCCCTAGGACACATTCTGGCAGACATCTTCATAGACTATCTCGAACAGACGCGACTGAGTGACACTATCAATGGAAAAACATACTACCGTCCATACGTAGATGATACTTTTGTTGTTTGTAACGACATGAGTCAGGCATCCGTATTATTTGACCGCCTAAATGAGGTCCACCTAAACATTAAATTCACCATGGAATACAAACACAACGATGAGTTCAATTTCCTGGACCTAAATGTAAAAAGAGGAAAGGATGGAACGGTCGAAAAGTTCATCTACAGGAAAGAAACTTGGACCGGAAAATACCTTCATTACAACAGCTCCTGCCCTATGAGCTATAAGCGGGGATTAGTAAGGACACTGTAAAACAGGGCCAGGAAGTTATGTTCGTCTAACAAGGTAGAAAAAGAATTAAGCTTTGTTGAAAAATGCCTTAAGGAAAACGGGTATCGAAAAGCATTTATCCTAGAGTACAGCAAAGAAAGAGATGAGAAAGAGAAGTCTCCAACAGTTGAGAAGATGAAAGTGTTCATTTGCCCCCAAACAAAGGAGAAACAGTATCGCAAAGATTGGAAGGAGGATGAAGGGAGCAATGAAGAGATGCTTCCCTGCAGCCATTCAGGTGACACTATACAGTACTACATGCTCTATAAGGCAATCGAAACTGGATAAGTACCCTGCTAATGTTACCTGCAACTGCATTTATAAATTTACGTGTTCTTGCGGCAGCAAGTACATTGGAAGGACAGAAAGAAGGCCTTCTATCCGGTTTAAGAGCATATTCCAAGAAACTTATGCCTAAAAGGAAGCAGATATTTACAAAGTGCAATTACCAGACACCCACCTTGTGGATACGAGTCATTTTGTCGAGATTTCCAAATCCTTCAAAATATTAACCATACAAAGGACAGCGAATCTACTACGATTTGCTGAAGCAGTTACAGCAATCAAACGTCACACACCAAACTTATGCATACAGAAAGAGAGAGTGTGTAGTCAATCTCTCACTCCCTTGGTAACCATATCACTTTCATTACACTGATTAGTCATACACACTAGTGAGCTCAACTCACTAAGCAAGTTTTCAACTTTTAATGAACTTTGACCTTCTTGAGTTGCCATGTTGACACTGTTTATTAGACTTTTCTGTTTTCTGTCTTCTCTCATCCCCCCTTTTTCTTTTTTCATAGGTTGACAGTATATAAATTGATGGTGACTTAGATTATAATACTCATATTCCAGATGCGTTGTTCACCTTATAATGTCTTCTCTATTACCTTTCAAACAATGAAGAATGAAATGTTATTATTTATAACCATTGTAATTTCAGGTAGTCGTGTGCAGCAGCTGATGAGAACCTGTGAAATAGAATGATGGCATTATTTTATACTGCGAATCTGGTCTTTCTTTCTCTATCAAGATCTATAAATTGTTTCAGAAAGATAATTATGGTACATAATTCTGTGAGTTATGGTGTGGTGAGAGCAGGCCGTGAGAAAATATGAGCAAGGCTGATTCAACAACCAATCACAGCAAAGTTAACGTGGCAAAATATGATTCGCAGATAGAGAACTCTATTTGTCGAGGAATTCCGAAACAACCAATCAGAAGCCTGCGTTTGTCTGCCTTACTTCTGATAAACAACCAATCAGATGACTGCGCTTGTCTACTTGCATAAGCTATAATAATGTATGTGAAATATGTATAAATACGTGTTGATTTTCATAATAAAACGATCTGTTGCCTGGCCCTTGTCTTCTGTTGTTACAATGGGAAGACATTTCTGTGCATGCGTGTATTTTCTCATTCCTTCGTCTTTCCAGTGGATCACAGGTCATCAGCCTTTGACTATGTCAGATCAGAGAAGTCTGACTGATATTCTCTTCTACGAGATGGAATAGCTAGTTTCACACAAATTTCTGCCTACAATGGATCTACTCCGGCCTAAACGAAGTTTCAAAGTATGTCGTCGGCGAGAGATTGAACCAGTGTACCATGAACTATGGTTGACGAACATTCTGCTAGTGAACCACTCACGTAAACATAAGAGTTCATTTCACATAATAGAAAGCAGAATAACTCACCTCCATTTGCAGCTTTCGTTGTAGCTATAAATCAAAGTAAATTCAATTAGAAAGCAAATTATGTGCCGTCACATGCATCTGTTATATAATATTGACGTGAATAAGCCTATCAAACATTTGTATATTTGATTTTATCTTATGCTGACGTGTTCTCACACCGAGTGGTACATTATTATTATTATTATATCCTTTAATTACTAGAGGAACAAAGGGCTTCAGCCACGCGTCTCCATTGCCTTCGGTTTTCTGCCAACTTTATCACCCCGTTCCAAGTCTGCCCACATGTTTTCATCTCCTCTTCACATGACCTCCTCCATGTCACCACACCCTCGCACTGACGACCAACTCGCCGCTTCCCATTCTGTCGGGTTTCACTCGAGCATTGGCTTGTCTAGTGATGTCACTTGATGGTTTCCTCAGAGTATGGCCAATCCACCTCCATTTCTTCCTGCTTATTTGTGGCACAATCGGTTCCTAGTTGGTTCGCTACTAGAGATCCCTCTTACTGATTTTTTTGTCTGGCCATCTGATCTTAATTGGTATTGAGCGAAGACAGCTGCTGATGAAGGTCTGATGTTTGTTTGAGATGCTCCTTATGACATGGCGCCAAGTCTCTTGTCCGTATAGTGAGTAGCACTGACTTCACATTGGAGTTGATAATCTGGATCTTATTTTTGACGCTGAGTACTGTTGACCTCCACACAGTGGTACATTGAAAACTCTTTTTTATATTGTGACTGGTCAAATGATGTCATTTCGAATAGAGCAAGAATAACAGTGTGGTGTTTGTGCAGAATAATATGGTACAACCATTGCTTATTTCCTTGGCTTTTCATCACCTCTACTGCTTACAGCCTAAATAAATTATGAGGTAGGTTTATGTACAGAAAAGTTTCATAATACTTCCAAATTTTACATGATGTCTATCAGTTGGCAAAAGGTTCCGCAACTAGTGAACAGTGCTCAGAAAATTGCGCTTATATAGTTTTTACACAGCAGTTCAAGTTTAAACAAAGTAACTGTATGGATAGAATGGTAAAGGAGTTACGCAATAAAGATGAGAGATGCATAAGATGCTGAGTGACTAATGAATTAGGTAACAATTTACTTAGTTCAACTAAATCATAAAAAAACAAGAGACAATTAGAACTGCACTGTACCAAAGAGGTGAGGCTAAAACCAAAGATTACACAGTCAAATGAAAAAGGGAGAATAAAGACATCCAGTTAACAGGCGAGGCAAGAAAACACTGATAACTGCTTCTCTCTGAACACACGAATCAGGTTTCAAGGTATTGATAGAAATTGCTTCGGCAAACTTGAGGAAAATTGAGCTCCTTTGTCTAATGAAAATTTTAAATGATTTCTTGATTCCCACCTCATGACCCATATCGAGAAGCTGTGTGGTAAAAGCGGTATTATAAAAGCTTTTTCCTCTGAGACATAGGTTTTTCGGCAAATGTTCAGAAAATAGGAGGTGTTCCCCTCTTTCTGTTCTCCCGATGTTACTGTTTCCGCTGATACACATTAATTTGTATACACAGTTGTAGCCAACATGAGAAGGGTATCTGTCAACTTTTGACTGCACCAAAGAGAAAGTTGTTTGATAGACTTAGCTGTTGACGAAAATCTAATTGAACTGATTAATTTTAATTTCAGTCAGGATTCTACTAAAGCTACCTTCGGATACGTTAGTGTTGTAGACGATCATCTGAAATTTCGCTGAATGTCCAGTGAAACTGCACAGACTGAAATGACATTTCTACGTAATGGATGAATAATGTTAATAAGCACTGCATCTAACTGCCTTTCACGTGAAACCAATATGTCTGTATAGTAGTAGTATGAGGCCAATGAAAACAAAAAATGATCCACTCATGAGTTAGTTTGTTAGCGTTTGATTTATATCAAGTCTGATCGAGGATTGATATCAGTCAGATAATCTTTTGATCACCTGGATCTGTTGGACAGCCAGACGTTTCGTCCCTGTTCAGTACCCTTCAGAAGTACGCAACTATTGTTGTTCGTACCTAGGACCGTTTTGTTGCAAGCCGAGCTTGTAGATCATCTAGCTACTGAGACCTGATCGAGGAACCTACGAATTTTGAGCTTCTACCAATTGATGACTTCAGTGTGACCAACATCTAATGTCATCTGTCGCAAGTATTTGTCATCACATTCTACCTGGTAGGTTCCACTGGTCACAAATTCTCACTGGAAGGTTCTGCATCCAAAATGCGTTTGATACTTACTTCTGAAGGGTCTCGAACTGAGACGAAACACTTGCCTGTCTAGTACTTCCTGACGCAAATCCATGATGACATTTGAAATATTATTTTATTGCATAAGGGTTTATATGTGTAATTTGAAAAGGGGGAATTTTACAAGATATATAAATAATAGTATAACTTACTGTCATTTCCAGGAGCTCCTGTAGCTATAAATATAAGTAAATTCATTACAAAGATGATTTATACCAAGTGAATTTATCTTAGTTTTACTTTAAACTACATCCATAATAAAAATTTTTCAAAATGATTGTAAAAAATCACTCTACATCATCCGTTGGAATGAGATTTATGCGCAGAGAGATCGATGAACACAGTAAAGCTGTCAAACATTTGTGTAGTTTGAATTTCCCTGCTACACTGACTTGTTCATTAAGAAAGGAGACACATCGAAAACTCTTCTCAACTGATTAGTGAAACAACAAATTAGTTGCCATGAAGTTGACATAATATTTTGTTGATTGACTCAACAGCAACAACAATCAGCACCAATCACCATCAAGGAACGGGAGAGATTAAGCAGAGGTGGCCTGCTTGATTTATCTGGCCGGAAAGCGACGATTCAATGACAGGCCAGTGGAACAGACGGAAATCTCAAAACCAGCCAGCCAGCCAGCCAGAATTGAAAAAAAGGCGAGAGACGCCTTCTTCAACCTGAAACCAGTTTAAAAATCTTCTGCTTTTATTCAGTCAGCATAAACAACAAGATTCGAATTTTCAGCACCAATTTCAATGAAGTTAGTCACTTCTTCTATGTAGGTCAGAAACTTGCACTATGTGTCACAAAAAGTATTTCCACCAATTAACAGAATCTTATCAACAGCTGACACCTTCACTGGCTTCATACTGAAGATCAGACAGCCAGCTGTGCAGAACGAATTTATAACAAGAAACCCTGGCATTGAATGAACCAATAGGCGAAAGCTGACTGTCCAGCAAATATGTAGGAGATAATAGAGATGGATGGATCGGGCACACGTTGAAAAGGCCATCGAATGACATTTCGCCGAAAAAACCCACCGGAAATTTTTACAAAGTGAAGATGTATTGTTGCAGGCCTATGTTCCCCCCCCCAGAGTTCAAAGGAAAATTTTTTAACAGGACTGTCATTCATGCTGTGTTCACTTTCGTTTTCTATCAGAGGACATAATAACTTGTTAGTGTGTTGTAAACTTTGTTTCATCACAACCTCTTTATGATTCTGACATTCTTACAACTGAAAAATATGTGTAGACAGCCTCTCTCAGGATGCATTGTGTGCGTCAAAAGCCGTATAGGTGTAAACTTAACTTGGTAAATAACCTGCTGAACTGCATATTTCAAAAAGTAGTTTATGACCATTATTGTTCTATGATGTCTTATAATCTCTATAAGGGGATATCGTAAGTTTAAAATAGAAAGCGCTTTGACTTTCCACTTCAAATTGTGTAATTTGTGAATGTCTACCAACATTTTAAGTATTATTAGTGTTAATCATTTCGCCATTTAGTATTTTGGTGGTTTTTAGATGATTTAAGTCTGTGAGTTCACTTCACTTATTTATGCTAATTCCTATCTTGTCAATATAGAAACGAATCTCTGTTTGATTCTGTTCTCTGTGGTCGCTCTTAACCTGGCTCCACAACGTTTTCCATGGGTTTTCATCTTATTGATACACAATCTTTCTCTATATCAAACTCAGGCTAATGCATTGCTGGCCGTTTCACATTTGGATTTGATACAAACGATAGCTTGACACGCTATGTCTCCTAAGTGTCTGTCAGACCCATCCCTATTTTTTTCGGTAAACGAGTTGAAAACTACGTTCTTGACTGGTTTACCTCCAGAGTTTCGTATTACTAATTCTTTCTGGTTGTTTGTCGTCATCACCTTTGTCTTGCATGTCCTTACTGCATCTTCAGTCAGTTTATTGATTTCCGCCTGTAAGTCTTCAGGTCTGTATGACATTGTTGATAATTCATCCGCTAAATTCAGGTCTTCTACAGTTATTTTATCGATCCTTTATATCCATATCTTCTCACTTCACAAACACACCACTTAATTCCATTCTCTGCGATCCGATTAATTAGGCTCCACAGCTTTCTCCACAGACTTCCGACTCCTTGTTACACAGCATTCCCCAATATTACCCTCAGATTAACACATAACTGCTCGTTTCTCATTCAGCTTCGATACAAGCGATGACCTGACATACGATGTCACTCAGTGATCTCCTCAGCGGCTGTCCGATCCATCTCCTTTTTTTTTAGGTATATTTGTTGAGTCAGTGAATGTAACAGTTTGTAAAAGTCTGCTGCAGACTGTAGCAAATGCTATGCGTGCCATTCTTGCCAAGTTTCTAACCCATACAGAAGACAGGACTGACTTAACATTACTGTTGAAAACTTGAATTCCGTTTTGATTGTGAGTTCAGCAGATTTCTACATTGATTTTGCAGTGATGAATGTCTCTGTTGCTCTTCCAGTCGTGCCTTTGATATCTTCATCTGTTCCACTTGTAGTTGTAATGTTACTGCCTAGATAAGTGGAGGAAGTCACCCCCTCCACGGTTCTTTCGTTGATTGTGATTGTCGGTACTAATTGTTGTTACTGTCGGCTGGTCGGTTGGTTATCTTCACCATCTCCTTATTGTCTACATTCAAGTGGAGTCCTGTCTTCGCTATCAGCCTCTGCTGCCAGCTTGTTGGTTTTCGCCTGTAATTCTCCGAATTCATGTGACATTAGACATTAGTCAACCACGAAGTCAAGATATTCAAGTGTCTTCTTCCTGGTCCAACGTGTTCCTGTCTTCTTCTTCCCCACAAATGGTCCTCTGCATGATAAATATCACCGCCATGAGGAATGTCATCATGGGTGACAGTAGGCAGCGGTGTATTACTCTTGTCTTTGCTTCAAACGCTGCTAATCGTATTTGAGAATGAACAGATCCTTTGCTATCCTTTAGATTTAAAAATGAAACACCGAAATGCGTTGATCGGAATTAACTTTGGTAATGTTTGACCGTGATGGGATTCGTGGGTTTGTGTATTGTACTCATCAAGATTATACTGATTAACATAGCTAGATTACGTAACCTGTTTTGTTCCTTTTCGTTACCAGTAGAACATAGGGCTTCATTTCGATGTGGTTGTGTTCTCTGAGCTAGATGGTTAATTTGCAAAGCTTTCATCACCCTACTAGGCGACATCTTCAGGGCTCATTTCAATTTGTTGAAGTGAGCTTTTAGATTTCTCCACGAGTTTATTAATCATCTCTCCTGTTGACTTTGGACGTGATTGGTTGTTTTTGTGTGTTGTCATATCTTCTAGGTTACTTGTTTTAGAACTGATTGTTTCTTTGACTTGAACTTTGAACGTTTGTGTGTGAGATTTCCTACTTATCGATTGACAAATTCTGTCATGTCAGTGTGTCTATTGACTAACGATTCAATGGAATACCAGGCGGCCTTCTAAAAATTATCTAGCATTCTTGGGTTTTCCTCTGCCTAATATTTGAACGTTGTCCCAGTCGAATTGATGTCCATGGTTGTCTGTATGTAGTGACATGAGAGAGTGGATGTCATGTAATTTGACGGCTAGCTTATGTTCATGGATACGAAAACGAAGAGGACGTCCACTTTGGCCAATGTAGTGTTTTTCGCAGTTGTTACAATTTATTTTGTAGATGATGTTGGTTTTATCTTCTTTCGTTCGTTGTTGAGTCTTTTGGTTGACATAGAATTGAGTGAAGTGACTTTGTTGGTTTGTGTACGACGTCAATTCCTAAAGGTTTGAAGAATCTTGCAGTGATTTCTGAGATATCCTTTATATATGGTAAGGCGACTTTCTTTGTACTTTCCTTGGAGGCTTTTGGTTTGATAGGTTGGCTTGGAGGTATATGTCTCTTAATGAAATTCCATGGATATGCATTCTTTTGGAAGACAGACGTCTATGAGATATCTTTCTTCAATTTTCCTTAGCGTGGGAGTGCTGCCATAAGTCCTTGACCTCTTCAATAGTGTTTTTTACAATCGCGTTTGTGAGTTATTGAATTTGTGCTGTTGTATTTCAGTATTTGATTTCTATAGAAAATCAACTCACACAGCTCAGAGGAGACAACGACATCAAAATCATCCACCCGAGCTGCAAATCTTCTCTATCATATTACTTCAAGCTAGAGGATTGAATGTTCTGTAACAGTGGTGATTATTGTTACAGGATGAGGTTGCAAGCGTCATCTGGCCCAACCTTCCTTCTTAACCAGTCTCCCTACTACCTTAGCGAGGTAAATGAGTGTGTCTGTCGAAAATCGAACCCCGGACCATCTGTGTGGTCGGTGGCGAGAACTCTACCGCTGTGCCACCGACTCAAAGATTGCGTATTACGTATGCCGAACGACCACCTACCTCGCCACGAAATATTAGCTCTCATAGGATTAGGTTGAAAAAGAGTTTCGACATGGACAAACAAAAACCTGGCATCAGTTTATGAAGTGCGTAAATACTGATTTTAGCACAGAGAGATGTAAACCGTCTAACTGGTGTCCTCAAGATGCTAAGAACCAATGGTTGAAGGTTATCGCTGATTTGGCTGAAAATCGTCCTCAGTGATATATCTTACTCTTCATTAACTCCTATAGCTATTAAACGCTCATAATTCTCCATGTCACAGTTTTACCTTCCACATATTTTCTGCCGTTACAAATCTTCAGTAACTTTATTTCTTTGCCTATGTGTTCTATAAAGAGTTTGACAGCTTGAGCTATTGCACTTCTGCACGAAATGCTACACTGAAACTCATTCAGTCAGTCAATAATTGAGCAACTTCGAATTTAGTTCTAAATGAGTACATTACTGCTGTCAGATGATATATGGAATTCCACTGGGTGCTTAATCCCTCTCTCTCTCTGTTATGTTGCTGCTGCTGAGTGGTTAATAGTAGTTTTCCCCGTCGCCAAATTGTTATGTTCTCGTCGCTAAATTATTGTTATGGACTGGTCGAGAAAACTAATAGTCCTGACGCAAGAAGGCGGAAATCAGAAGACCACTAGGTTTGCGATGATACTTCTATTTCCAAACACTAGGAGAATGCAAAAGTGGTATCACACCAAAGTGGTAAGTCAGTATATGTCACAAGATTGTGAGAACGAAATATATATATATATATATGACCGTTCAGACAAAGTGTGTGAACAAATCAATGGACAGTCTTAACATGAATGGCTAATTATAATGAAGTATCGATCCATATATACATAGCGAAATATAGCAGACATGTCAACAACCACCATATATGGATATATGTCACCAAGCAACGGACTGTCAACAAACACTCATATTATATATAATATAATATAAGGAGAATACACATTATTAAAGGAGACAAGTCCATACAAGTGAAGTGGTCACAGACTAAGCGAGCAAACAGAGAGAGAGACCAACATATATATATATATATAAATGTATATAACTTTTGATGAATAAAACTTTGTGTGCTATACATAAAAACGGTTGAAATAAAACAACTTACTATCATTTCCAGGCGTCACTGTGCCTATAAATCAAAATAAATTGAATCAAGAAATTAATTATGTCATGCGACTTCATCTTACATTCACTGTAAAATGTATCTTTAGTATTAGGTCGTAGAAGATTCGTTAATAATCGCTACAGATCATTTAGTCGATTGAGATCAAGTTTTGTGGGCACACTTATTTCTAATATGATCTGTTATCTTTTCTGTTTTTCGCTGAGAAAGCTGCCTATTATGAATGACCATATTGTAAATCGTGGTTGAATGGATTCTGTGGTAGACTATTTGTGGGAAGCGAGAAGACGGGAATATGCTGGACGCATTATAAGACTCTAGAAGGTCTGGATTTGGCAGATGATATTTGGCAAACGCCTTAACAGTCATGCTGTGTTACGCACAGCATCAGGAGAAATTATTTCGGACACCAATGGTAAGATGGAACGATGGGCCGAACATTTCAAGCAGCTACTCAATCGCGACGCTGGTCAACCGTCTCATCGACCGATACGACACTTACCAACACCCTACGTAGTTGACTGCGATCCACCCACTCCAACCGAAATAGCTAAAACAATTAACAGACTCAGAAACAAAAAAGCTCCGGGCGAAGATGGTCTACCCCCAGAAATATACAAGGCCTGCACTCCAGCGCTAATCGATGCACTGCACTCGCTGTTCTGCTCAATTTGGGAGTCCGAAACCATTCCTTCCGATTGGAGCACCTCAGTTCTGCTACCGTTCCACAAAAAGGGAGACAGGTCAATATGCGAGAACTACCGAGGCATAAGTCTGATTGATATCGCTGCTAAGGTTTTTGTTTCCATTCTCCTGAACCGCTTCGCGGCCGAACGCCACGTGCGAACAAGGCCAAATCAAGCCGGATTTCGACCTGGAAGAGGCTGTGTTGATCAATTATTCACACTGCGAAGAATTTTGGAACACAGGGACAAATTCCAACAGCCGACGGTTGCTTGCTTCATCGACTTCCAAGCGGCATTCGACTCAGTTGATCGAGGAGCACTCTGGTATCTAATGGAGCTCGACGGAGTTCCGACCAAGCTAATCAACCTGCTCAGGTCATACTACTCCAACACCAAAGCTCGAGTCCGAGTGAACGGTGAAGAGTCCCGCACTTTTGAGGTAACCAGCGGTGTCCGGCAAGGTTGTCCAGCATCCCCCATCCTGTTCAATTTCACAATTGATTGGATTTTGCGGCACGCCCTAACCGAGCACCACGGCGTCCAACTTTCGCCCGATATTCACATAACCGACCTCGAATTCGCCGACGACGTCGTGCTGTTAGCTGAAAACTTCCCCGATATGCAACAGGCGCTCGACCAGATAAACCACCTCGCGCCTACTATCGGTTTGAAAATTAACACTTCCAAAACCAAAATGTTTTCGAACACATCCACCAGCAATGATGAAATCTTATCCCTAAATGGAGCACCTATTGAAATTGTGCCATCCTTCAGATATCTGGGATCCATAATGCTCCCCAACGGCCAAGCGAAAAACGAAGTGAATGCGCGAATCTCCAACGCCCGGAATGCGTTTCTACAGCTGAGGAGCGTTCTATGGAGCAAGAGAGAAATCAGTCTCAGGACTAAAATTCGGGTCTACCAAGCTTCCATACGACCCGTTCTCCTGTATGGCTGTGAAACCTGGCCTCTTCGCGCGGAAGATTTACGCAGACTCGAGGTATTAGACCATTGGTGTCTCAGGTACATTCTGCATGTTCGTTGGCAGGACAAACTCTCCAACGAAGAAGTGCGTCGGCGTTGCTACAACATCAACCAAATTCCAGTACTGGTCCAACAACGCCGCCTTCGGTGGTTTGGCCATGTTCTGCGCCGACCAGATGACGATCTGGTCAAATCAGTTCTAAATCCCTCGCCATTACCATCTTGGCGATGTCGCAGGGGCGGACAGCTGAAGACATGGCTTGGTACAGTCAAGGCAGATATGGAGTGCCTGGGGCTACAAACCGTCTACGGACTCCGTATGTGGAACAAGAATTGGATATCCCTATCGCAAAACCTTGCTTCAGATCGCCGCGCCTGGGCAGCGATGATTCGAGACGTTCATGAAGCCGGCTCATCCTCCCGTAGGAGATAGCCGAAGTAAAGTAAAGTAAGTAAGTAGTAAGATGATATTTGTCTAATGTCATACGAATTTAAAGGCGAAAACCAACAAACTCGCTGAAGAAGCTGTGAACTTAGAGATGACAGGGGTGATGAAGATACCCACCGGTCAAGAACAGCAACAGTGACGAAAACTACAACCAGCACCAACCAAAATCAACGAGGAAAACTTAACAGAGATTGCTTGCTTCACATATCTAGGAAGCATTGATTTTACCACAGTCAGTCAGAATGGATGAAGATGCCAAAGTCAGCCAGCTAGAAGTGGAAAGGCAAGATACTGAAGCATTATAATAGAGGTTTTTTGTATTTCCCAATGAGTGAAAAAACCTCTTTTATAATGAATATCATATACCCAATGCCCAAATTTTTTCAAACCGTTAAAAGATACTGAAGCCTTTATCAACCCGATACCAACTGGAAATCTTCTGCATTGACTCACCCAGCATGAAAAACAAGTTTCAGGTTTTGAACAAAAAATATGAAGCCAGTCAGTCACTGCTTCTATACGCGTTAGAAACGTGGACAGTGTGTCATTAAAAGTATTTCCAACAAGTTACAACATCTGACACCTTCACTGGCTCCATACTGAAGATTAAATGGCCGGACAGCAGAAAAAATAATCAACAAGCCAACCAAGAGCCGATTGCTCAGCAAATATATTTTAGAAAATAGAGACATGGAATGGGCATATGTTTAGGAGGTCGTGGGATAATATCGCTTGCAATTCAGGCCATCACTCGAATGGATCCCAGTGGGAAGCAACTAGTGGGTCTTCATTGCGAGGATGACAGGAAGGCGATCGTGCGAGTTGGAGGCGGAGAAGATGAAAGATTATGGGCCCTAGTGGACCCAGCCGAAGAGGGCAGCAGTAAATAGAACAAAGTGGAGATGTGAACCTGATAATAACTGTTGCGACTTGAACTCGAAGAATCTATAGCTCTGAATCAGTCGAAAAAGAGATCACTATTTTGAAGAAGACACCACTTGAGGATAGCTATCCATTACACCTTATCAATAAACACATAAAGCCAAAGATGTTATACATGAATGTGGCGTTCGGAGGTGACCTTCTGGTAGACACTCTGAAGGAGAGAATATCTAATGCCCTGAAAAAAGACATTCCCTGCTGCTACATTACAACTGCTTCAATCATGCCGCCCATTGTTCACCAACAACTCTTAAAATAAACTATCGCATCTGACCACTTCAATGTGTATCCACCATTTTACTTGCTCATATAGAACGAGATAGTTAGATATACGACTTGTTCGATGAGTGTTTTATCCAGAATAGAGTCAAGAAACATTATTCCTATTGGCTCCTAAAGGTAAGCAGTGACTTCAAAAGGACTGCTATAGTGACTGAACGGCAAAGTTAAACTTTCGACACCACTAACAACCAATCAGCAAACGACCTCGAACGGACCAATCACATTAAAGAGGCATATATGATGAATGAAAATGTATATTTATAGAAAAAAAGCATAAAATAGAGAATAAAAAAGTTACATGGGATGTCTTTCTCGAACATGTGAGAAAAACATCTCCCAGTTTAGCATGGGAATGTCAATGGAGAAGTTACACCACATCCTGTACATATATCCATCCAAATGACCATAAATGAGATCCTTTTGAGATCCACTTAAAGCCCTTATCCTATTTTTCAACCTGCCCCAAAATCCTTCAATAGAATTTGTATGTGTCCTCGTAACGGGATCCACAAAATCACTTGAATGGTTGACTCTGTGATGAATACATCCCAGAGATGACAGTGAATTGTAGCCTTTCCACTCGTCGGTGTGTATAATTGACCCCCGCTTAACAAGTCTGGTAATAATAGGTATAGGAGTAGTTGCTTTTCTATCTGCTATCCTTAGGGAGAGAAGCGACCTAACGAAAAAAGTTCCTACGAAATATTAAAATTATCAGCTTACTCTCTCTAGCGTTAGTAGGCTTCAAACATATAGCACAACCATGAACAAACCCATCAGTTGATTGGGTATAGCTTTTTAAAGTCATGATACCACCCCACAAACAAATTCGCTCTTTCCGGCGCAACTCAAATCCAGGAAATACTGGAAAACGCTAACCTCCTCGAATTGCAACAATAGCTTTGTAAGGTCACGCATTAGAAATGAATCAAGCGCTATACAACATTGAACTGCGTTTGTGAACCTCATTGGATAATTCGACATCGTTCGTGAATCTCATTGGATAATTCACTGATTGGTAGTTAGTGGTGTCGAAAGTTTAACTTCGCCGATTGAACATATATGCTGAACTGATCAGTCACTCAAAGTTATCTACAAAGTCTAAAGAAGAAGCCTTCCGAAGCCGATATGCTTTCAAATACTCGGATGATTGTAGCCTCAGTTTTTCGGATAAATAACCTGCTAAAATGATGTAGTTTGTTACTTGTCTCCGTGCACTTTCATTAACGCTCAATTTATTCTAGGACTTTTTTTCATATTACATAATCACAACCTAACCTTTGCAATTAGTAGTGTTCTCTGAGCTGGTTGGTTTAGTCGTGGAGCTTTCATCGTCCTTCTGGACAACATCTTCAGCGCAATATTTAGCATAAAGTGAAATTTATCCTTACTTATAGCATTTAGGCCATGAAGCTTCAGTAGATTAGCTGTCACTGTACCGGACAACAACTGAATATCTTATGAGGAGGGATCACGGCTAAGTTCGCTCTTATCACCAAGAATAGACATCACTTTAGATTTGTAGTCACTTTTATTCATAATGACGGCTCCAGAACCTTTATCAGGTTTTATAATAATTATATTAGAATTCTCCCGTAGCTCTTTCAAGGCTTTGAAATGCTGGGAATTTAAAATACTTTTCTCCTTTGGGTTGTTGTTTAAAAACTGGTGAGCTATATCCACCATCTTAACTTTAATCCAACCCCGATCTTAATCGGATGTTGTGGCAAGAGGTTTGAGTTGGTCGTATATGTTTTTAAACTCAACATAGATTACTAAATCCGTCAATTGCGTGTGAGCAATACAAAATTTGAGTCCAAGGGATAAAGCTTCTTTCTGATGGGTAGATAGGGTAATATCAGAAAGATTCGTAGCATATGTATCAAGATTCAACGGAAAGACATCTACGCGGTTTCGATCATCAATTGAACTCTTCAACTTGTTTTGTATATTCGTCTTTTTGGTGATCCCTCCTCAGAAGATATTCAGTTGTTGCCAGGTATAGTGACAGCTAATCTACTGAAGCTTCATGGCCTAAATGCTATAAGTAAAGATAAATTTCAATTTATGCTAAATATTGCGCTGAAGATGTTGTTCAGAAGGACGATGAAAGCTCCACAACTAAACCAACCAACACAAGTAATTGCAAATCATGCACCTGTGCTACAAATCTTCCCTATTATTTCACAGCCTAACCTTACTAAACCTAACCACCATACCTACAATTTTGATGATTCATCACTGTTTTGAAATATTTTGTTGTGACGTAAACAATAACCCAAACTAATTTTTATTTTTGTCTAAGAAACCTAATGTAACCACACATGCAAAAACAACCATATCATAATTGCGACTGTACAGCTAAGTAAATGAATTCGCCTTTGAAAGCTTGGTGAGAGCGAGCTGCAAGCCAAAATTTGCAAACAACAATTTACGTCAATGTTTTTACATCCCGAATCGTGGTCATGAGAATAAAACAATAACAAAGCCTAACCTTGAGGAATTCAACAACCGATCACAACAGACTTAACGTGTGCAAATACGATTCGCGGATATATGGCTTAACTTTCTAAGAAACGGCCACAAAAATTGATGACAGAATAACCTTCAGCAAGAAAGTAAAGCTATTAATAATACACATAAAAATCTATATATATATATATATATATATCTGTCGATTTTGTCAATAAACGGTGTGCTGCCTGGCTCTTGTCTTCTGTCGTTACAAAAAGAGACTCTTCGTTGAACTGTATGTTCTTATTTCCATGAATGCATGGGTATTGTTTGTGAAATAAATTAAATGAAATCTAATTGCTGAGGGATGATATAATCAAATGATTGAAATGGGTAACTAAAATGGATCCACATCGACCAATTTTGTTATCTAACCATATTTAATGGGAATCTAAACATCAAATGAACGTTTCTCTGTTTGTAAAGCATACGCATTACCAATATTAGCCACCTAAGTCATCTGAATCAAGTGTTGGTTCGTAGGGATTTGATTGGTTTCAGGATTTCATCATGAGCTGACATTAATTAGAGAACCATTGGAAAACCTGGGAGTACTGGACAGCTGTTTCGTCCTAGTTTGGACGTCCAAACTAGGACGAAACAGCTGTCCAGTACTCCCAGGTTTTCCAATGGTTCTCTAATTAATGTCAGCTCATGATGAAATCATCTGAATAAGTTGAAAGTGACCGACTTCCAACCACCTACTGTTTGTAGTTAGTAATCAGTATAAGGTAAAGAAGAACGCAGCATTTTTTCGTTTCCTATGAAAATTCAGATCAATTTTGTGACCTCTAACATTTTCAAGTTCGCTCTCATGCCTTTAGAGGTAATAACTCGATTCTAAATGATTCACTGAATGTGTAGTATTCAGCTAAGGAGTTAATTGTTTTAAAGTGTCTTATAGTCTGAGCGGAAACCTAATTTGAGACGGCTGTTTATGAGGCATAACTCTCAATAAAGACAAAAATATAACGGTAGAAGAAAGGCAATAAGAATAAGAATTATAGACATTCAACAGGTCACAGATTTAAGCAAGTTTTAAATGAGTTTGAAATAAAAATGGCACAAAGAAGGATTATTCTCAACTTACTTTGAACAAGAGTGGACGTATCTGAAAAAGAGGACGAAAAAGGCATAGAACGTGTATTATTGATATTGTAAAACTTGATTTACTGCATGATGTGAGTCTCTGCGTCGGTAGTGCTGCAGTAGAATGCTCGCCAATTACGCATGCAAATTGGAGTCCGATTCCTGGTCAGTACACTGGTAAACCTCACTAGATAAGTGGTGAGTTTGGCTATGAGGGAAGATTGTGCATAAGACTAGCAACCGCAGCACGTAAAAACAAATAAAACCGCTGCTGCCGGGTGCTACGGGAGAAGACGAGAGACTTGGCAACGGAATTTATATTTACAGTTGGAACACTGCATATTAAAATCGTCATTTGCACACATATCATCCAAGTGTTGTACTACTTGTGTCCTTGCTAATGAGTTTCTTTGTCGTCTTTACGTGTCTTGCATGTTATACCGGACAAAGAGAAACTTTAGGCACCACTAACCAGCAATCAACAAATGGCCTCGAAAGCAAAAATCACGTGAAGGAGGCACTTTTGTGTATGCAGTACATATATTTATGAAAAAATTGCATAAAGGCTGCAGAAAAGTTTTAGAGAGGATACCTTTCTCTCACATAGGATACAATAACTCTCAGTTTTAGATTGACGTATCAATAGAGTATAATTCCATCGGGGGTAAAATCTATTTAGATAAAGTTTCATAGTCTTATACATCATTATTTACTGAGCAACAGATTGTGCTCGAAACGTGGTCATCAGTAAATACCACTACTATATAACACTGTGAGACTTTATCAGAGTAAGTCTTACCCACAATGGAATTATACTCTACCACCACAGTGCATAAGTTCTATTCATCTATCAATAGAGTAATCTAACCACATTCTATGCATGTCACAATAGCCCTTATCTTTCCTGACCTGATTATAACATGAAAATATCCTCAAAACTAAATGTAATCTAAGTCGAACCAAACCTACTGTCGCCCTGATTAGATTTACCTAGCCTAAACTTGTTCTTGGCTCAAAGAGGAACTTAATCTTTCGCTAACCTTAGCTGAAACTTGCTAGATATCCTATTTAATAACATAATACATCGATGAGCATATTTTATTATTGATGATGACAATATTATTCGCCGGATTCCGCTAACTTGCTTAGTGAGCTTTTCAAGGTTACTGGTGCGTTCGCACTCCATTGGTAGTTAGTTGGTGGTGCTTAAAGTTTAACTTAGCCTTTTATACCGCAATGCACTGGTCCAGTTCCTATCTTTCACGTCAGATCTGTTTCTCAGCTATTTGATATTTTCCTGCACTAATGAACATCTCACCATATACTACTATTGATAAATCTTGCCAGTAGTACATACACATTTAGTATGACTTAAGAGTAATCAACAAAATCAGACGTTTGCATTTACAGAAATAAAAGCATGAAGGCGATTAAACTCACCTGACGAAATGGTTTGCGGATCAGCTTGAAAACACAAAGAGAAAAACTAGTTGGTTATTTAGCTACCTACTTATATTAAAAAATTATTATTATTATTTATTATTATTATATCCTTTAATTCCTAGAGGAACATAGGGCTTCAGCCACGCGTCTCCATTGCCTTTGATTTTCTGCCAACTTTCTCACCCCGCTCTAAGTCTGCTCACATGCTTTCATCTCCTCCTCACATGAACTCCTCCAAGTCACCCTTGCACTGACGACCAACTCGCCGCGCTTTCCTTTCGGGTTCCACTCGAGCATTGGCTTGTCTAGTGATGTCACTTGATGGTTTGTTTTCTACGAGTATGGCCAATCCATCTCCATTTCTTCTCGCATATTTGTTTCACAATCGGTTCCTGGTTGGTTCGCTCATTGCCAGAGATCCCTGTTGCTGATCTTTTCTGGCCGGCCATCTGATCTTGAGTAGTATTGAGCGAAGACAACTGTTAATGAAGGTCTGATGTTTGTTTGAGATGCTCTTTATGACATGGCGCAAGTCTCTGATCCGTATAGTGAGTAGCACTGACTTCACATTGGAGTTGAAAATCCGGATGTTATCTTTGATGCTGAGTAGGGCTGTTGACCTCCACACAGACTTGAAAGTAATGAAGACTTGTCTTGCTTTTCCAATTCTGGCTTTGATATTCTTGTCAGTTCCGTTCGCCTGTAGTTGGAACGATGCTTCCCAGGTAGGTAGGTAGGTAGTGGAGGTTGTTTCTTTCAGGTTCTTCCCATTTATGCTGGCTGATTAGTGTCTGTTGTTGTTGTTATTGGCGAGGATATCAAACAATAAATAGAATGGTACAGTGTGAACAATCTTGTATTTTATTTAGTATTATTCCTTTGCGTTCGAAATGGAAAATAGAGCTTCAACAACACATCTACACTTTCTCCTATTTTCTATTGCCCTATTCATCTAGGTCCGCGACTGCCCATCAACTGCCCATTATTTCCTCCTCTTCCTTCTCTTTAACTCGCACTACTTCTTCGATGTCACCTTGCACCAACGACCCATTCGTCACTTCCATGAGCATTGCACTCCAGCGATGGCCTGAATTGTGCGCGATGTTATTCGACGGCCTCCTCAACATATGCCCAATTCATCTCCATTTCTTCTTACATATTTGTCAAGCAATCACCTCTTGGTTGGCTGTTCCTCTATTCTTTCTACTAACCACTTGATCTTCAGTATGGAGTGATGGTAGCTGTTGAAGAAAGTCTCCAACTTGTTGGAAATCCTTTTTCGTAACACTCAGTGCAAGTTTCTGACCTGAATAGAAGCAGTGACTGACTGATTTCATATCTGTGTTCAAAATCCGATTCCTCTTCTTCATTCTGTGTTGGTTCAGACTTCCAACTGGTTTCAGGTTGATGAAGGCTTTACCGATTCTCTGGCTGGCTGGCTGACTTTGACTTCTACATGCGTTCCGACTGCTGTTGTTGAAACGTTGTTTCTTGGATAAGTGGAGGAAGAAACCTGTGTCAGATCTCTCCTGTTGATGGTAATTGGTACTGGTTGTTGTTGACCTGCTGGCTGGTTGGTTGATTATCTTTAACACCTCCGTTATCTCTGTGTTCATCTGAAGTCCTGAGATCTTAGCTGCTTGTCTGCCTCTTCAGCCAGTTTGTTAGTACTCGCCTGTAAGTCTTCGAGTCTGCGTGACATTTAGACCGAAAAAATTCACGCGCAAAAGCCAGAAGTCCTAGAGTCTTGTTATCGATCAGTCCAGCGTATTGTAGCATTTCATGCAACATTGTTTTGTTATAGTTGATGCCTATTTCATGACTTATATGACTGGACAAAGTTTCTTTTTTTATATATAAACCTCTGTTATGTAAATTTCGATTAACTTCCCTGAAGAAGGTGGGACCAGTTTATCGAAAGGAACGTTGAAATTATTTATTTAAATTTCTCAGAGATTTTATAAATATAATTTTTTTACACATGTCAACTTGTTACTAGGCGCTCAATTATTTAGGATAACATTTTAAATTGTTTATAGTATTCCTGCTAATCTTAATTTTGCTTTACGAGTACGTCTTCTACATACAGCTGAAGCAATAAGAATCCACCCGAACAAGCCAAACCTGTGTGTTCAGAATAAAAATTAGTACAACCACTTTTCTTACTTTGGCCGTCATTACATGAATGTATAAACCAGACAAATTCGTCCCTGCTTCCCCCTAAACCGTTAAAAATTATAATTATCCAAATTATTTTATTATTATTTTTCTAACTACTACTTCTTTAATTACATGTTATCATCGTCCAAACTGTCCTACTTTTCTTCAGCAATCTATTGCGTAACCAACACGCGCACCTGCTTATTCCTTAATTGCACTACTCATTTTTCCAAAATTATTCATCATCGAATTCATGTGTTGTAGCCATTTATACCTTTTAACTGTGTGTATAAAAACGATTCTATATAGAAAAACGACACATTGTTGAAGATTCCTTGACTATAGATATGATAGAGAAGATTTGTAGCTCAGGTGAATGATTTTGATGTGGTTTTGTTCTCCGAGCTGGATGGTTAGTTTGCGAAGCTTTCATCACCCTACTGGGTGACATCTTCAGCGCATACTTCAATTTCACGAAATGAGCTTTTAGATTTCTCCACGTGTTTATTAATCATCTCTCCTGGTGACCTTGGACGTGATTGGTTGTTTATGTGTGTTTTCACACCTTCTAGGTTACTTGTATTGGCATTCGTACTGATTGTTTCTTTGACTTGAACTTTGACCCTTTGTGTGTGAAGTTTCTTTCTTATTGGTTGATAAGTTTTGTCTATCTCGATGTGTCTATTGATTGATGATCCACTGGAATGCCAGGTGGGCTTCTAAAAATTCTCTAGCATTCTTGTTGTTTCCTCTGTCTAATATTTGAACGTTGTCCCAGTCGAATTGATGTCCGTAGTTGTCTGTGTGTAGTGATGAGTGAGGGAGTGGATATCATGTCTTTTGACGGCTAGCTTATGTTCGTGGATACGAAGACGACAAACCAACATCATCTACAAAATAAACTGTAACAACTGCGAAAAACACTACATTGGCCAAAGTGGACGTCCCTTCGTCTTCGTATCCACGATCATAAGCTAGCCGTCAAAAGACATGATATCCACTCCCTGATTTCACTACACACAGACAACTACGGACATCAATTCGACTGGGACAACGTTCAAATATTAGACAGAGGAAACAACAAGAATGCTAGAGAATTTTTAGAAGCCTGCCAGGTATTTCAGTGGATCATCAATCAATAGACACATCGAGATAGACAAAACTTATCAACCAATAAGAAAGAAACTTCACACACAAAGGGTCAAAGTTCAAGTCAAAGAAACAACCAGTACGTTCCAATACAAGTAACCTAGAAGGTGTGAAAACACACAAAACAACCAATCACGTCCAAGGTCACCAGGAGAGATGATTAATAAACTCGTGGAGAAATCTAAAAGCTCACTTCGTGAAATTGAAGTATGCGCTGAAGATGTCACCCAGTAGGGTGATGAAAGCTTCGCAAACTAACCATCCAGCTCGGAGAAAAAAACCACATAAAAATTCCTTGACTATCTATCACTTAGCTCATCTACTCACAGTAAAACGAGGAGTAGAACAAAGTCTTACGGACTTACGTATACTTACAACTACACCAGAGGACCAGCGTAAAGAAATAATCATCCTACTCGAAATGTTACTTGACAACAACTACCCAAAAGAATTTATTAGAAATAATATAAAAAGAAGGGTAAAACTAGAGAATGACACGTAAGAGGATGGCAAAAAGACGATCACAGCACCATACAAAAATGGTACATCAGAAGCAATTCAAAGAAACCTCAAGAAAATATGGGGATTTGCATCACGTTTAAACCAATGAATCTAATTAAAAATGAAATAAATCAACTGATACATCCAATAAAAATGATGGATAAAAGTAGAAATTGCATGGAGGATTTCATCATGAGCTGACATCATTTAGAGAACCACTGGAAAACCTGTGGGTATTGGATGGCTGTTTCATCCTTGTTTGGGACTCTTCATCAGTACGCACCCACAGGGTTCAAACCCAGGACCTTCTGGTTACAAGGCGAGTTCGTAGACCATTAAGCCACTGGGACCCGATCCAATGGTCCTTGAATTCAAACTTCTGCCAGTTCACGATATAGCGCGACCACTTCGCAATGTCTTCGTCGATGAGTTACTACCTCATCTTCAACCTGCTGTACCCTACTGGTCATGGCTTCCCACTTGAAAAGTAGTAATGTAATTTACATATATATATATAATTAATTTAAAACAATTAGTTCCCTTTATTAATTTAGACAAAGTAATAAGAAGACGTAATTTTTCTGAATCGTACAACGTGTATTTGCACAACACATTTGTAACAATCTGATCACACGCGGATCTGTCATATATATATATATATATATATATGTTATATATATATGTGAAATTAGTATATCAATCTAAGCCCTTTGAACATGCAAAAAATGGCGTCACATCTCACTGTATTTACCAATTTTAACCTACATGCAGACACACATACGTAGGGAGGACTCATCGACATCCTCAGGTAAGGGCTGGCTTCAGAGCCTATTCCTAAATGGTTTTAGAAGCCAACAGATTCTCCAGAACCTCTTAGTGGTCAGAACAGGAGACCTAGCTCCTCTATAGCAAAACATATTATAGAGACAGGACATAAAATTGATGTTAACACATCTTTTAAACCTATCTATCTATAAAACGTGTTTGAGGGGTATCCTAAATTTTTGTAGGAGCCCTAGCTGGCAATTAGAAAGTTTAAACCATCTTCGTGCGTCGGTGACACAGTGGTTAGGACTCTCGCCGACCATGCACATCGTCCGAGGTTCGAGCCCACGCCGGCTCACACCTGATATCTATGGTCGGCCTGCAAAATTTGGGCTACCGATATCCATGCTGAAAATTCCATACTTGTACCAAAAATACAGTGTGGAATCAAGCTGTAAATCAAAAATAAAATAAATAAAAAATCCTCTGTCATCAAACTAAACCTTCCTTGATGATCTTAGATTTGTTATCATAGCAGATGTACTATTGTGGTGAGACCTGTCTGAAAGCCACAATTATGGACAATATTTTACGTTAATGTTAGGCCTTCATTCGCGGTGATGACCAAAAACAAGATCAAAGCTTAACCTTGAGGAACCCACCAACCGATCACAGCAGACTTGTTCTGTGCAAATACGATTAACAGATATATATGGCCTGACTTTCGAAGAAACGGCCACAAAAAAAAATAACGGGATAATCTTCAGTAAGAAAACAACCAATCAGAAGACCTTGCTTCTCCGCTGACAATAATGTACATAAAAATCAATAAATATCTCTTGATTTTGTCAATAAACAATCTGTTGCCTGACCCATGTCTTCTGTCGTCACACTATAACCTCTGTTATTTGGTTTATTGATGTTCAGCGTTATTCTGACCTTCAATTTGTCCTTTTAACTTGACCTTAACTTATTTTCTCACCTCTTAACTATTTATTGATTTCCTACATACATATATCTATGACAAGTCCGTATGTGATGGATCAGATTGTTCGAAATGTGTTGCGGAAATATCATTAATTCATTAGAATATTCAATAAAAATTGTGCATAGACATAATAAGATGGAAAACATGTTCTACCTCCTCATTACTGACTAAACTCACCATGAGTATTTTCTATACCAGAAGGCACAAATACAAAAAAGAAAGATGGAAAGAGTAATTAGTTTGCATGACTTTTAAAACTGACGAAACACTAAAATCAACATTCCATTAGACTTTATATCAAGTGTAGCATGTGTTACTGAGGAATAGATCCCACATGTACCACAATGTCAGCAACACTTTCTTTAGTGTGCATGGTGTTAACACTTCACTTAATTCTGATGTAGAGCCTTGAATTAGGACGAAACAGCTGACTACCGAGTACCATCTGGTGGTTCCCCGATGATCCTCTCTAAACGCTCACAACTCATGATGAAAACCTGCAACAAATTATTTTTTTCATTCCCACGCCATATCATTCTTGCTAGTCACTAAGTCTTTCGTAAATGATATCACATCGCCCCGCATTTCCCGTCGACATATTTGCTTAACGTTAAAGGAAGTGTAACATCCTTGTAACGAAGTCTTAACTCAAATTACTCAAAGTGTTATTATTGGCAGCCTGTTGAAATCTCTAGGCTATCTAAATTCCCATCAAAGACAATGCATCGTGCTGTCAATCGGTCTTGTCCTTATAATTACTCAGTTATAAATTTCAACAACACAGTATTAGGATGTAGTTCCTCTGGCACGTGTAATGCAGTGTGTATTTACGATACACATTTCACACATTCTGATCACACACACACACACCCACTAGTACTTTGCTTACACAGTTTTATAGAAGGCAAGAAATCATGAATCATTACAATACAGATAAAATTGTGTCCAGGACAAAGTCACAAATAATGAGTAGGGAGATGAGGCAAGGGTATGGGTAAGAAAGATGAAAACAGAAAACACAAAACAAAGAAGGAGTTGAAACTATTATGAAGTAAATTGATCCTTACCTCTAAACTGGACCATCCAAGGCAGGTTTAAAGTAATATCGAATAACTTTTGGACACAGAAGACAGGTTGAAGTCTTTTTACGGTCAAGGCTTCAACGAATTTAAGTATCTCTGACACAACCTTGTTTTATACATGGGCTTAAAGGCATTGCTGAAATCAGCCTTATGACACGTCTCTATAACTTGCTTCACTTTAAATGATGTTGGACAGCTATTCCCGGGAACAGTTGTATCTGGGAATTTTATTTATTGCTGCAACCACTCTGGAATATGTTCTATAGTCATAACCTGTAGAGACCGATGAGTCCTCCCTATGTAAATGTGTCCACAAATACATGTAAATTGATAAACGCAATGGGGTGTGGTACTATCGCTTGTTCGGGTACTGTGAGGGTTTTACAGGACAGCATGGTTCTTGTTTTCTCTATGAATATATTTTTAGCTGCACAATAAGTTTTATTAATCACCGCCTTGTGTCTTTGTTTTGCTGAACACACTTTATTGATTACCACTGAACGCCAATGATATATAAATATCCTTTTTTGAGAGCTGATTGGATTAGTAGATCTCTTTGATTGACACTTCTGTAACGTCTAATAAATCTCAGTGAGTAATTGTTATTCAACAATATTTCGATGAAGTTGTTGTTGTCTTTCTTCTTCACTTGTGTCGGCAGTACATAAACGGTGAATGCGTCTGAACAAACACTTAACCAACACAGATTTTCATTCTGTAGTGAACAGAAACTATGACAATTTAGATACAGTCCCATCCATGTGGACTTTCTGCAGACAGACTCATCGCCACGGCGGGTTGTGAGTACATCTAAAAATGGTGAACAGTCATTATTCTATTTAACTTATGTTAGCGATATACTGTTTTGTACTCTATTAATCTGGTTTAGGATTTCAGTAGCATCTGTCGGTTGTCTCTATCAGTTTACATGTATTTGTGGACACATTTACATAGGGAGGACGCATCGGTCTCTGCAGGTTAAGACTACAGTATACATCCCAAAGTGGCTGCAACAACAAATAAAATCGTTGGGTATAAGTGATCTCGGAAATAAATGTCCAACATTAATGTATGGTGAAGTACATTATAGAGAGGAATCATCATATATATAAACAAGGTTGTGTCACATACTTAAATTCGTTGAAGCCTTGACCGTAAAAAGTCTTCAACCTGCCTTATGTGTCCAAAAGCTATTTGTTATCACCTTAAACCTGCCTTGATAGTTCAATTTCCTTCCTAATATAATTGCAACTCCTTCTTTGCTTTGTATTTTCCCTTTTTACATCTTTCTCACCCACACCTTTGCGTCATCTCCCTGCCCATTATGACTGTCTATGACAAGTGAGTTTTGTGTGTGTGTGTGATCAGAATGTCTGAAATGTGTTGGGCAAATACACACTGCATAATAAGGTTTCAGGTGAAGTACTTCTTAATATCATGTTGTCGACATTCACTTTTATCCGTAGGTCTTCGAATATACTATTGCAGATTTTTAATTGGTTTGCAGGCTATCGTTGAGCATTTCTGTGGGACCAAGGAAAATTACCGTATTGACTTATTTCATTCTTTAGATCTAATATTACTGTTTCATATGATTTACTGCAGATGGCTATTTCACTTGAAACTCCTGGAAACAGAGTACATGTTTCGCAATAAACTATGCTTAAAATGGTGGATAGTGTGTAAATTTATTGTGCATAATAAAGCTAATGTTATTATTATTATTATCAAACTCACGTGGTGGATTGGTTTGCGCAGTAGCTTTAATGCATGAAAGAGAAAATTTTATAATTTGTTAGTTATTTAGTTAGGGTAACAGTTGCTGATTTAATATATGGCTACCTTCTAATCGAAAGAATAATTTACAGAGATGGTATTACTATGTATTATTACTCAAATGAATTCCGAGCGCAACGCAGGGCTTCAACAACACATCCCCACTTTGCTGTGTTTTCTGCCGTCCTCTTCAGCTTGGCGCACGATATCTGCGCCAACTATCTCCCATCTCTTCTTCCACAAACCCGAGCACTGAAGACCCACTCGTCGCTTCTCATTTGGATTCCACTAGAGGGCGAGGAGTGCGAAGTCATTCGGTAGCCTTCTCATTATATTCCCGAACAATGCATCTCCACCTTCTCCTACAGATTTCCTGGCGATTGGCACTTGCATGCTGGTTGGTTCTCATTGTGGTGAGAGCTGGCTGTTAGTCAAAATTGGTGGACAGTAATTTACGTCAATGTTTATGTCCCCAATATTGGTCGTGAGAAAAATAAGAACAAAGGCTTTGCGTAGGCGGATACAGTTAACACATAGATGATCTGACATTCAAGAAACAGCCACAAAGAAGTGCAAGGTTAACTTTCTGTGAGAGAAACAACTAATAAGAAGACTGTGTTTGTCTGCTAACAATAATCTATAATATGTACATGAAGATCTATAAAAATGTGTTGATTTCTTTAATAAGGGATCTGTTGCCTGGCCCTTGTCTTCTGTTGTTACACCATAGTTTCTTGTTGCTTATTCTTTTTGACTATCCATCGGATCTTAAATATGAAGCTAATGCAGCTGTTGATGAAAGTCTGCCACTAGCTGTTGGAAATCCTTCTCCATGACGCACCGGCCAAGATTCTAAACCATATAAAAGAACTGACTTCAAATTGGTGTTGAAAATTCGAATCTTGTTCCTTATGCTGAGTGACAGCGGAAGTTTTTCAAGCTGGTTTCAAGTTGATGACGGCCTGTGTATGTTGCCTTCCGGATTCTCACTGGCTTTGACATCTCCGTCCATTCCACTGGCCTGTCGTTGAAACGATGCTTCCTGGCGAGATAAATGAAGGAGGCAACCTCTGCTAAATACCTCCCGTTGATGGTGATTGGTGCTGGTTGGTCTTGCTGTTTTTGTATGTTGGTTATCCTCACCACCTCCGTCTTCTCTGTGTTCACCAGCGATTCTGTCTTGACCACCTGCTTCTTCAGCCATTTTGTTGCCTTTCGGCGGCATGTCTTCAAGTTTATGTGACATTAGACATATGTCATCCATGATTAAAATCCAGATGTTCTGGAGTCTTATTAGCGGTCGTACAGAGTATTCCTGACTTCTCGCCACCAACAGTCTGGTTAATAATCCACTCTGCCACAATTATGAATATCATCGTGAGTGATAATAGACAGCCAGCCAGCCAGTCTTGTTTTATTCCTGTATGCACTTAGAATGCCTCGTTGAGTTTTCTGTTGTAGAGAAAGGAAAAGAGGAATGAAGAAAAAAGAGATGGAGATGTGCTGTTGAAGTCATCTGTTCCACTGGGAACCAAAAGGAATGTAGCATTATGATGTATCTTCAGGTGTGAATGCTTATTAAGCCGCCTACACTCTACATAGTCATTAATGTTACATACATGAGATACAAAAGTTGTAAACTAAAGAATATTTAGTAAAACAATTATCACGGGATTGTGTCGCTGTCATCCTTGTTTATGTTTTCCATCTTTCTATAGGACGACAACGGAAGCGCAATACTGACAAAAGTATGAAGAAGTTGACGGCAAAATGAGCCATGAATTTTAGCATTTAGCTTCAATATGATTTCGTACAAGACCGAATGCTGAGTGCCAAGTAATCCATAATGGGAAACTCATGAAATTCTTCGAAGTAAAGACGAGAGTAAGACAAACTGGCTGGCTGCCTACTTCCATCTCCAATGATTTTCCTAATTGAGGGCCGTCGACTGCATAACGCGACAGTCAGCCATAAGAAACTAGGAGACGGGCATAGGATGGACCCACACAAATCGCTTGGAGGATATGGACTTCATCGATGTGATATATATGTTTGATTTTGCAACAAACTGGATGATAAGCAAGTGAAAAAAGCAACATGTTGGCGATAGAGGAAGCATCCAGAGAAGATAGGACTTATTTTCAGATGAACATTGAGCGGACAGAGGGAGCTGATGAAGATTCCTAGCCAACAGCAACAGTTACAGAAAACAAACAGCATACATAGGCGGAGTCTGAAAAAAAGCAACCTCCTTTACCTACTCACCCACCTACCTGGAAAGCATCGTTTCAGCTACAGGCGGATGGAACTTACAGAGATATCAAAGAAGCGATGATCGGAAAAGCAAGGTAAGTTTCCATTACTCCCAAGTATCTGTGAAAGTCAGCAGCGCGCAACACCAAAATGAAGATAAGATCAGGATTTTCAACTCTAATGAGAAGTCAGAGCTACTTACTATACGGATCAGAGACTAAGCGCTTCATGAAGAGCACTTCGAAGAAACTGCAGACCTTCGTCAACAGCTGTCTTCGTTCATTACTACTCAAAATCAGATGGCCGGCCAGAAAAGATCAGCAATAGTGAGGGGCGTCTGGCAATGAACGAACCAATTTAGTAGGAACCAACTGTGCAGGAAATATTGAGGAAGAATTGGAAGTGGATTGTCCATACTGTGAGAAAACAAACCATCATCAAATGACATCACATGTCAGGCGATTGATCGAGTCGAACTCGAACAGTAACTGGAGAGTTGCCCGTCAGCGCGACAGTAACATTGAGAAGGAGGTGACGTGAAGAGGAGATGAAAGCATGTGAACAGACCTGGAGCCAGGTGAAAACGTTGGCAGAAAATGGAATGCCATGGAGACGTTTGGCTGAAGCCCTTTGTTCCTCTAGGAATTAAAGGTAACAATAATAATAATAAGACCCAAAACTCAAAGAAATAATTCTCCAGTTACTAATTTGCTGAATAGTGTGAGACGTTTGAAAAATCACTGTGAATAGTCAATAACGTTAAAACATTTTCTCAATATTGAAGCAAGCAGTTGTAATATTAAGGCGTCAAATAAACTCGAAGACCTACAGATGAAAACCCACAAGTCGACAGAAGACAGGGGCGTCAAAGTCAAAACTTGAAGAGAAGACAGACAAGCCAAAGATGATGGTGAAGATAATCAACAAGTTACAAGTAACACACCAATCACTATCAATGGAAGCAACTACGACGTGGTCACTTTTTTCAGTGGCCAATCCAGAATCGTTTCAACTACAGACAGCATATAGGATGATACCAGAGGCATGATCGTCAGAGAGAAAAAGTGAAATCAATGCTTCTGTATGCATCACAGACTTCGTGTGTCACAACAAGCATTTCGAACAGAAAACCGTAGAATTTCGTGAACAGTCGCCTTAAACCCTTATAATTAGATCAGACGGTAAGAAAGGATTAGCTGCTGAGAACATTAAGAGCAGAACTCTAAATACGCAGAAGAAAATAGTGATGGATGGGACTGATGTTCGGGTTCTATAGGAGAAATCTCATGGGGAACTTGAAGTTGATATGGGAGAGATCGTGTGATGGAGAGATGAGTGCCTGTGAATAATCATGAAGCAAGTTAATGACAACTGCAGCATAGAGGATGAAATAAAGATATGCTGTTAGAGCTCTATTGAAACTTGGAACCCATAGGGACATTAATAATTGAATTAATCATAATAATAATAATTGAAAGAAGCTTTAAAGTGACGTGTCAGTTATCGTACTCACGTGGTTGAGAGGTTTGCACAGCAGCTGAAAAAAATCAGATGGAAAATTGGTTAAGTAGTCAGTTACCTAATTAGATATGATAGAGAAGATTTGTAGCTCAGGTGGATGATTTTGATGTGGTTTTGTTCTCTGAGCTGGATGGTTAGTTTGCGAAGCTTTCATCACCTTACTGGGTGACATCTTCAGCGCATACTTCAATTTCACGAAGTGAGCTTTTAGATTTCTCCACGAGTTTATTAATCATCTCTCCTGGTATCCACGAACATAAGCTAGCCGTCAAAAGACATGATATCCACTCCCTCATTTCACTACACACAGACAACTACGGACATCAATTCGACTGGGACAACGTTCAAATATTAGACAAAGGAAATAACAAGAATGCTAGAGAATTTTTAGAAGCCCACCTGGTATTCCAGTGAATCATCAATCAATAGACACATCGAGATAGACAAAACTTGTCAACCAATAAGAAAGAAACTTCACACACAAAGGGTCAAAGTTCAAGTCAAAGAAACAATCAGTACGTATGCCAATACAATTAACCTAGAAGGTGTGAAAACACACAAAAACAACCAATCATGTCCAAGGTCACCATGAGAGATGATTAATAAACACGTGGAGAAATCTAAAAGCTCACTTCAACAGATTGAAGTATGCGCTGAAGATGTCACCCAGTAAGGTGATGAAAGCTTCGCAAACTAACCATCCAGCTCAGAGGATAAAACCACATCAGTTACCTAATTGTATAGGACTGAGGTATATAAAGCGATTATTCATCAGTCTGTAACTAAATGTCATTTAATTTAAGTTTGATCACGGATTGATATCAATTAAAGAACCACTGAGAGACCAGCAAATGTTGGACAGCTGTTTCCTCCTGGTTCGGATCTCATCGGTAGTAGACACCGATCACAAGAGGTTTCGAATCCATAACCTTATGATTATGAGGCGATCTGGCTTAGTATTCAGCCAGTGAGACAAAATTTAGTGGCAGTGGTACAATTCAGAATTCATTAAATATAGCCTAAGGTTCCAGTGGATGAATGGTCTATTTACTAGCCTAGCTTATAACCAGAAGGTCCTGGGTTACTCCCACTGTGATGAGTACGTACTGTCAATGAGTCTCTAAATTGACTGAAAACACAGCTAGCTGCAAGTAATCTAGTTCTGCTTTCAGTTGAAATTTCCACTGTAGGAAAATTGCTAATGAACTCTTTCTTTAACACACTGTGTCAAATTGGACTGATAAGATTCCATCATCATCGGTAGCAAAGACTAGATGTGGGATATTATTAGCAACCTGATGTCAGATTATTCATACACTGAGCGTGCTTTTCATGTGAATTCATGAGATCGCAGTACTTATGTTACAGAGATATCAGTTAGGATATCCATGTATGTTACCGTCAACCACAGATGCTGGGTCATCCTGGATAACTAAGAGTATACTGACGTTAATTTCTTGAAAATATCACTGTCATCATTGAATTTGTGCTGTGAAATACTAAATTATAGTGTAAATAACCTAATTACTCACAAAAGAAACTGTATGCAGACAATTAATTATTCAATTTAGTTTTTTTCCCGTCGATTGATTGACCGGAAGAACTTGCTCTCAGGTTGACATGTCGCCTCCTTGTGCAGATACTTTGACGCTGTCTGTTCGTTTGACCTTAAGTCAATTGGTTGATGGTGACTAGAAGTGGAATCCAGGATGAGCATTTCGTTATATTTGGAAATCGTTATCAGCTGGATGTGCGTCCATTCCTAAGTGAGTGATTGTGTTCCTACCGAGGCTGTGATGGAGGTACATCCAGATGACAATCTCAAGTAGGAAGATAAGTTGATTCTGGATTCCACTGCATGTCGTCATAAAACAGTTGTTTGCAGGCATTCATCCCACCATTCGATGTGAACAATACCTCCGAAATCACGATAGAATACTAAGACCGTTTCAAATAGATATAACGTACAGGTCAGCGCAAACACTTCAGTCGGTATTGTGCAGATCAGGAGATCTGACAGCAAAAGAAGATTGGATCAACACTATTTACATAATAAATTACATGAACTGCGATAAAAGCTACATTGCTCAAAGTGGGCGTCCCCTTGGAATCGCAATCCAAGAACACGAATTCGCTGTAAAGAAACATGATACATATATTCTTTCAGATCGATGTATCTAGATAATTACGAACTGAAATTTGATTGGGATAGTGCAGACATTTTGAATAGAGAAAACACCAGACAGTAATGCCGGAGAATTTCTAGAATTGTGTTACTCAGGTGAAACAGTGATTTACAGACATGTTAGTATAGACCAAATTTACCAGTTAATAAAAAGTGAGTCACTTGATAAAAAGTTCACATTCCAAGTCAATAGAAATGACCAATGGAGATGTGACAACCAATCGCGACGGTGGTTATAGGGTTTCAACATCATCAGACATCTGTAAGAGAAACACTGGAAACCTGAGAGTACTGGATAGTCAGTTGTTTCGTCCTAGTTTATGTATCATCGACAGTACACACCTGACCAGGAATGACAGTGATTATTAAAGGACACAAAACAAATATCACAAATGGGGAACTCCTGAAACACATGAAGGCTTCTAATGATAAGTGCAGTTAGGCGGATGAAATGCAGATGTGCTGTTGAAGGCATACATTCAACTCGGAACCCTCGGTAACATCAATAATAATAATAATAATAATGATAATTGAAAGGAAGCTTTAAAGTGGTTTGTCAGTTGTCGAACTCACGTGGTTGATTGGTTAGTACAGCAGCTAGAAAATGTAAGATGGAGAATTGGTTTCTTCAATGTGTATGACTGAAATATGTTAAATTGTTAGTCATCAGTCTGCATCCAAATGTCATACCTGTAGATCTCGATTGTGGTGGTTAGTAACATCCACTTATTTTACAGAGTTCGAACTGGTTTTTGATAACCCGGAGGTTTGATTTAGCTTTGAGTGAAAATCAGGGAGAACCACTGGAAATCTAGGAGTACTGGAGAGTCAGTTGTTTCGCTCTAGTCTGGGTGTCATCGGCATTACACACCTACCCATGCGCGACAGTGGTTATCAGGGGACACAAAATAAATTTCACAAATGGAGAACTCCTGAAACTCATGAAGGCATCCAATGACAAGTGCAGTAAGGCGGATGAAATGCAGATGTGCTTATGACGTCCTATGTTCAACTCGGAACCCAGGAGAATATTAATAATAATAATATTTGAAAGAAAACCTCGCCTAGAATAGTAGCTCGCTAGTTTCCTAGCCGGTCCAAGCCCGGATAAAGAGGAAGGGTTGCGGCGTGGTGCTAGCAACTCCACCCCCAAAACTTAACCAACCTGCTACAGAAACTTCAACGCATTAATATATTAAAAATACTAGAAATTTAAATAATAACCTTGTTTTTCTCTGGAATCGGGGAAGTGAAATGATGTAGGCTGGCGAAAGTCTTCGGGAAGCCAGTCAGTCGATGTGCCTTCTTTCGATGAAAGCAAAAATAAGGATGGGTACGTGGAATTTTCATACAATCTACGAAGCTGGAAAGGCTGCCCAGGTAGCCGAAGAAATTAGGAGATATAGAATAGAAGTGTTGGGAATCTGCCAAAGCAGATGGAATGGATGTGGAAAGTGCTAACTACCAACCAGAGAGAAATAATTTATTCTGGTCACCCAGAGGACAACCACGAGCACACCGAGGGAGTGGCCATCATGATGTCACCAACAGCAGGCAAAGCTCTCATGCAGTGGGAACCAATCTCCTCCAGGATAATGACAGCCAGGTTCAACTCAAAAGGAAGGAAAGTTACAGTCATTCAATGCTATGCGCCTACAAACGTCTCAGAACAAGAGAAGAAGGAGGCGTTCTACAGACAACTACAAGCAATAATGGACAACGTCCCAAATGGCGATATCAAAATCCTGATGGGCGACATGAATGCGAAGCTGGGAGGAGACAACACAGGAAGAGAACTCACCATGGGTCGTGAGGCCCTCGGTGAAATGAACGACAATGGTGAACTCTTCTCAGACTTCTGCGCCTTCAATGATTTGGTGATTGGTGGCAGTGTGTTCAAACACAAGGATATACACAAGACGACATGGATTTCACCAGATGGAAACACCAAGAATCAAATAGACTTCATCTCAATTTCAAGAAAGTGGAGACGGAGCCTACTGGACACAAGGTCAAGGAGAGGAGCAGATGTGGGTTCAGACCACTATCTAGTAGAAGGGACTTTCAAGGTGAAACTAAAAGCCTCGAGGATAGCTGGGGATAGGCCACAATGCAAGTTCAACACTCAATTACTGAAGGACACAACCACAAAAGACACTTTCACTGCAACTGTCAGAGCAAAGCAGGAAACACTACGCGACATCACTGAAGAATCATGCGTGGAAGAACATTGGAAGTCTCTGAAGGCGATTCTCAACGAAACGTGTTCAACGGTTCTAGGAAGAAAGAAGAGACAAGACAAGGAATGGCTCTCAACGGACACTTGGAAATTAATAGAAGAGAGGAGAATGGTGAAAGAGAAAATGATTCAATGCAAGGACGGACAGGAGAAGGAGACCTGAGCTCAACTTACACAGCACTGGACAAAGAAGTGAAGAAGAGTGCTAGGAAGGACAAAAGACGATTCTACGACAATCTAGCTACTGAAGCTGAGAAGGCAGCAGGCAAAAGGGACCTGAGGACACTATATCAGATAACCAAATCTCTATCCGGGAAGAGATCAACACAAGCGAAACCTATAAAAGACAGCCAAGGGAACCCAATTACCAAGGAAGAAAAACAGATTAAACAATGGGCGGATCACTTCAAAGGACTCTTGAACCGAACACCACCTGCAACCCGTCCAGAAATACCAACAACAGTACGCACACAACTGCAAGTTGACACCAATCCTCCAACGAGAGCTGAAGTCTTGAATGCAATCAAACTTCTGAAAGCTGGAAAAACAGCCGGACCAGATGGAATACCCCCTGAAGCACTGAAAGCAGACCCAGAGACGACAGCAGACATGCTGACTCCATTATTGCAAAAGGTCTGGAAGGAGGGAAAGGTGCCTACTGACTGGAGGAAAGGTTACCTCGTGAAACTACCAAAGAAGGGCGACTTAGGACTCTGCAAGAACTGGCGAGGAATCATGCTCCTATCGACGCCAAGTAAAATCCTGAGTCGCATCATCCTGGAGAGATTAAAGGACGCACTGGAGACAGAACTCCGACCAGAACAAGCTGGATTCAGGAAAGGCAAATCATGTACTGACCAAATTGCAACTCTACGCATCATCATCATAGAACAAAGCATGGAATGGCAATCAAACCTCTACCTCAACTTTATAGACTTTGAGAAGGCCTTCGACAGCGTTGATCGTGAAGTAATTTGGAAATTACTCGAGTACTACGGCGTACTCCAAATATTCATCAACCTTATTCAACAGCTGTACGACAACGGCACCTGTCAAGTGATCCACAACGGAAAACTCAGCGAGGCGTTTGGAGTAAACACAGGAGTCAGACGCCAGTGCTTTCTATCAACAGTGATATTCCTGATTGTGGTGGACTGAATTATGCGTCAGACAGTGAGTGCGAAACGAGAAGACAGGAATATCCTGGACCGACGTGAAGAACCTAGAAGACTTGGATTTCGCGCGTGGATGATTTATGTTTGATGTCACACAAAATCGAAGACTTACAAGCGAAAACCGACAAACTGGTCGAAGAAGCAGCCGGCGAAGACAGGACTCCAGGTGAAAATAGACAAGACGGAGGTGATAAAAATAGCCAACCAACAACAACAGCAGCTACGTCCATCGCCAGTCAGTATCAACGGGAGGGATTTGAAAGGGGTTACTTTATTCACTCACTTATCTAGGGAGCATTGTCTCAACTACAGGCAGTCGGAACGGACGAGGACGTCAAATCGAGCGAGAATCGGGAAGGCAAGAAACACATTCATCAACCTGAAACCAATCTGGAAATCTTTGTCACACAGCATCAACAACAAAATTCGGTCGGATTTTCAATACAAACGTCAAGCCAGTCACTTCTTCTATACGGATCAGAAACTTGGCGGGCGGGTCACAAAGAATATTTTCAACAGCCTGTTAAAGACATTTATCAACAACTAACTGTCTTCGCTGGACCTATACTGAAGATTAGATGGCCGGAAAGAATCACCATCAAGAAACCATGGGAAAAAGCAAAGCAAGTTCCAATCGTTAACCAACAAATATGCAGGAGAAAAGAGAGATGGATTGGACACTTGCTGAGGAGGCCACTAAGTGACATCGCGCGCGCATCAAGCCACTGCTCGAGTGGAAGTTTAAAGGGAAGCGGTGTGTGGAACGTCCAAGGGTGACATGGAGGAGATCGTGTGAAGAGTAGTTGAAAGAGTATGAACTAACATGGATGCAGGTGAAAAGCACAGCAGAGGACAGAAGCAAGTGGAGATGTGCAGTTGAAGTCCTATGTTGCACTAGAAACCAAAGGGAACAATAATCATAATAATAATTGAAAGGAAACTTTAAAGCAGCCCTTCAGTTGTCAAACTCACGTGGTTGATTGGTTAGCACAGCACCTGCAAATTATAAGATGAAAATTTACTTAAGCAGTCACCTTCATTAATGTGTACACCTAAAATACGTTAAACTGATACATACCATTCTGTAGCCAAATGTGATATCTGTAGATCCCATTTGTGGTGCTGACTAACAGCCGTTAATTTTGGTTTTTTTCATAGTTATCTGATATACTTCAGGTTTGATTAAGGATTTATATCAATTAGAGATCCACTGAAATTCTAGGAGTAGTGGACTGTCAGCTGTGTCGTCAGGCTAGTTTGTTTGCTTTTGATCGGTAGTACACACGCATCACATGGGTTTCGATTCCAGGACCTTCTGCATACGAGGTGAGTTCGTATACTATTCAGCCACTCGGACCCAATTCAGTGGCACTGATACAAGTCAGAATTCATGGACTACAAACTTGAGGTATGGTGGCTGAATAGTCTGTCTACTAGCATGCCTTTGAGCAGGAATGTCCTGGCTTTAACCCTCTGAGGTGAGCACGTGCTGTCAATGAGTCTCAAAGGTGGTTGCAAATACAGCTAGCTGTCAATACTCCCATCCGGGTTTTCAATTGTCATTTAACTGGTATCAATCTGTGATCGAACTTAATTGCTATTGGTCAAGTAGTAGTAGTTGAAATTTCCTTTGTAGGATATAAGAATAAAACTTGTGCACTGTGGTGGTAGAGTATAATTCCGTTATGAATGAATTTTGTTTTGATAAAGTCTCACAGTGTTTTACAGTAATATGTACTGATGACCACGTTTCGAGCACAATTTATTGCCTCTCATAATCATATCAAGGTACTCACTCACACGACTTCCTAACTTCATTTATATAGTTCCATTATTTTTCGCTTGATTTGATTGGTAGTAGTATTTTCCATATTTCGGGTATGAGTGATGAATCATTCCTATTGCACGTGTGTTGGATTTAGACTCTTTGAACAAGGATTCACTGATCAATCTCTCTCTCTACATACCTAGATTAATTTTTAGAATTTTAACCCTCTCCCACCCTATTGTGTGGTTGGGTGTTGATGCATGCAGTGCAATCGCTGAGCGTTTTTCCAAATTACTTATCTTCTTGAGGTCAACCATTCTTACCTTAGCTAAATTCTTATCTTCCGACAATCTGACTACCCCTGACCTACTAGTTTGACCTATGTAGTTGACCTCACAGTCATTGCGAGATATTTTGTAAATTATATTATTTTGTTTAATTGCGTCAACCGACAAGGTCCTTTAACCTGCACAGCCTGTCCCTGAGTGAGTTTGTAGGTTTAAATGCCACCCCAATTCCTGCTTTATTAATAATCCTACGTAGGGTTTCCGATGTCCACTCTTCATATGGTATAACTGTAGATGACTTATATTCTCTCTTATTTATGTTATTATTAATAGTTGACTAATAGGATTCCGTCATCACTGCTAGCAAAAACTAGATGTGGGACATTATTGACAACGTGGTGTCAGATCATTCATATACTGAATGTGCTTCCTATCAGAACCTATTACTCACAAAAGAAACTGTGTGCAGACAATTAATTATTCACTTTAGTTTTTCCCATCGATTGATTGGACCGCAGAACTTGCTCTCAGGTTGACATGTTGCCTCCTTGTACAGATGCTTCGACAATGTCTGGTCATATTACTCGAAGTCACTTGGTTGATGGTGACTAGCAGTGGAATGCATTAGGTTCGTTTTCGTTCTTTTTGGACTCCTCACTCTATTTACCCGCATTCTCTTCTCTTTGCTGATACCATTATTCAGTGGGGAATCCAGATTAATATTATTATTATTATATCCTTTAATTCCTAGAGGAACATAGAGCTTCACCTGCACGTCTCCAATGCCTTCTGTTTTCTGCCAACTTTTTCACTCCGCTCCAAGTCTGCCCACAGGCTTCCATTTCCTCTTCACATGACCTCCTCCAAGTCACCCACGCACTGATGACCGACTCACCGCTTCCCATTCTGTCGGGTTCCACTCGAGCATTGGCTTGTCTAGTGATGTCACTTGATGGTTTCCTCAGAGCATACCCGATCCACCTCCATTTCCTCTCGCTTATTTGTCGCATAATCGGTTCCTAGTTGGTTTGCTCATTGCCAGAGATCCCGATTGCTGATCTTTTCTGTCTGGCCATCTGATCTTGAGTAGTATTGAGCGAAGACAGCTGTTAATGAAGGTCTGAAGTTTGTTTGAGATGCTCTTTATGACACGCTGGCCAAGTCTGTGATCCATATAGTAAGTAGCACTGACTTCACATTGGAGTTGAAAATCCGGATTTTATTTTTGATGCTGAGTAGGGCTGTTGACTTCCACACAGACTTAAGAGTAATGAAAGCTTGTCTTGCTTTCCCAATCTTCGCTGCTTAGATATCCACGTCAATTCCGTCCGCCTTAAGTTGAAACGATGCTTCCCAGGTGAGTGAAGGAATCCAGATACATCTAGATAACTGCTTCAAGATAGGACGATAAGGCTATCCTGGATTCCATTGCTAGCCAACATTAACTCACTGTGTGCACACATTATTTATAATCTTTCAAACACAATGTAATATTGCGGTGCTTAAGAGAATGGAGGATGGATACCCTCACAATTCCATTAAAAAGAGTTTAAACTCGAATCATAACACCAACAAAAAGTGAACATCAATCACCACAGAAAAATTCATCCTACCATTCCGCACAGACAGTATCTCTGAAACAATGAGTAGAATACTAAGACTGTTCGGAATAGATTCAAAGCACAAGTTGGCACAATCACTTCATTCGATATTGTGCAGATCAAAGGATCTGACAGAAAAAGAAGATTAGATCAACATTACTTACTCTGATGATATATACTGCATTAGTCAAAGTAGGCACCCATTTTCCAGTGTGAACCCAAGCACACAAATTATCTGTGAAAAGGCATTCTATGCATTATTTCATATTTATGCATGTGGACATCTATGGAGAACAGTTTGATCAAGATTTATAATCTCAAATAGAGGAAGAACCAGACGGTAATGCCAGGGAATGACTAGCTTGGTGAATAATATTTGTCCTACAGCTGATCACAGAGTTCTCTCTAGTCACATTAAACTATCTTTACTGTCACACCCTCACTCTACAACGAAGTCAACAGACTTTTTCCGACACTGACGATGGTGATATTATAGGCATGAAGCGTAATGAACAAAACTTGAAGCATGTAGGAGTTGAATTAAAGCATGAAAACGGTGTATTTAATTATCAAACTCACGTGGTGCATGAGTTTGTTCAGGAGCTGGGAAAAACATAAACGGAAAGATTAGTTCGTTAGTTAGTAAGTTAGTTGGTTTCACATTATTATTCGACTGTCTGTAGTTGTAACAGGTCAAGTATACGCCGTCAGGTGAAATTAATTGTATGACATTTAGAGGGATTTCAGGTAAGACAAATTATCTGACATCTGATAAAAGGCTATTCAGTTAGGAACAGTCAGATCGGGACGTGACTGACCAAGTAAACATAGAATGATCCAAATAATTATTTTCCAATGGGTGTGCTGTAACTACATACAAGATGTGGTAACATTTGCAGGACATAAGAGGGTTGGCACCAATGCACTGTTGTATGCATAAATACTTACAAAATGATGTTAGATAATTGGAGACAATTAGCACGAAACCGTCGATCGCGCTTTTGTGCTTATTCTCTGGCATCTGCCAGTAAGGTGTAAATTTTTTTCTTGATTACAGCTTGATTCCACACTGTATTTTTGGTACAAGTATGGAATTTTCAGCATGTGATATCGGTAGCCCAAATTTTGCAGGCCAACCATAGATATCAGGTGTGAGTCGGCAGAGGATCGAACCTCGGACCATTTACATGGTCGGCGAGAGTCCTAACCACTGTGCCACCGAAGCACTCATTCAGCCTTATAGGAACTGATTTTCAACCTCAGATTCTCATCCGCATCAATGCAGTGTTGTAGTTTGTGGACGAGGTAATTGAGGCGTTGAAGTTCACTAGTGATTTCCTTTCGGTATGTTTTGCAAAAGTTAATTGGTCAGTGGGAGTTGTCACTGATTTCATTCCATCGGTGTACGACTGAAGTGTAATGTTCTCCAGTCGTCCATTGGTCTTCAGTTACCTTTATTAACATGATCTAACTTCTGACCACTTTTGTAAGTATGTATGAGATCACCTATTGCTGTGGCGCTAGATATTTTGTCTCCTTGGACGAGTATCCTGACTGTCTGAAAGAGTTCAACAACACATCTGATCTTCCCTCTTTACTGGGAGGGGTTGTGCCTGCAGTGGTGTGATTCCGAGATCAACTGACACTTGGTTGTCGAGCATTCAACCATTAAACCTTCGACAGAAGATCTAGTATAATTTATGAATCTAATAACACATATGCTTAGAATATGAATATCTTTATAAAGCAGAAATGAAGTTACTATCGATTTGTTGCACAATAATCGTTTACCATTAATCAAACTCACCAGGAGTTGGTGCTTCAGTGGCTGCAATATATAAAAAGACGAAATTATAAGAATAATTACTGTTTCTTTATCTGTACCCAAGAAAATACTGTACATTAGCTTGAAATTCAAAAGTGAGTCAGCAGGGGAATCTCACAGTCCCTGAAAAGAACATTCCCTGATTCATTTATGAGAATAGCGTTTCACAGTCGACACTTAGTGTTCAATAACCTGAAAGACAATATCCCACAGGTGACCAAATCTATGTGCCTTTATGAATTAACCCGATCACATGGAACTAGGTACAAGAACACTATACTGCATGCTAGTTACGAAGAGGTGGAAATGGAACGGTAAGAAGCTCGTATATTGAACATCTGGTCGATAATAATCAACCGATCTCTATAGCCTCCACCTTTAAAGTCGTCTACAAGGCACAAAGTAATTTACTGAAATCACTACGTACCCCGACTCATCTGTTGTATTGCTGCAGCTTTACTTATCGAAACAGAGAAGTCTCATCTCTGTATACAGAGAAAGGTCATTCAACCCCTACAACTTACATGGTCTTAATCCTTCCTCTATGCTAAAGTATGGTAATCCCTAATCGTATTTTAGCTCTACCAATGTTTCAATTTTGTCTATTCAATTTGTGTACTCTTCCTTTTATTATATCGATTGCTACTATTACCATTCTCACTTTGAATTGACTACAGTATTATTTTACGTGTTCAACTTGTCATTCTAAATCAAATCTGTTTTGCAACATTGAATTTTGTGTTACCAAAATTTCATACAATGTTGTGTAACGTTTTTATTTTATTGGATTTGTCTACTAATCCTATAATTGCACACCCCTTCCAAGTTCTGTACATCCTATGAATTATTTGCTTCCAATAACTGCCACCCTTCTTTACAATTCGCCATAGAAAAGGAATGCAAACTAATTATTCCATTTCTTCATGTGTGCCTTAGCAGACATAATGATGGATCTCTCAAAAGATCTATTCAACGGAAATGTACATAGAACGAACAACTAACTAATTTTTACAGTTGGGTACCCATCTCCAGGAAAAGGAATTTAATCCATTCACTCTGCTTTAGGATAAGGAAAATTTGTAGTTCTGATTGCGTTGACTCAGAACTTCACTTCTTAATAGCCACACTTGCAGAAAACGGTTCCCCGAATCGATTTATTGACAGTAACATGAAAGATAAGAAGTCTAAACTGGTCATCGACTCAGTTGCAAAGACAACTTTATTCATGAACTTGGAATTCAAAGGTGATCCCGCGACATATATGCTCAAAAATCGTCTCTCTAAATCAGTCAGTAAGACGTTCTTTGCAGGAAAATTACATATGACGTTCACAAACCGCAAACCGTTCTCTACTTCTGTAAAAGATAAGCTCCCCCGTCTGGCCACCTCCATGTGCATCTATCAGTTTAGCTGCTATTCTTATGGAGCAAGGTGTATTGGCAGTAGGCAGAGAACATCGCTCTCCACACGGATACGAGAACATATCCCAGTATGGTTTTACGAGGGAGAAACGAAGACTTCTTGAAGCTATATTCTAGAATACTTTTATAGACTCTTGTCACTCTACAAACCCTAACCATGATTTCAGGATCATGTACCGAATCAATGCTAACTTTCAAGCCGCGTTTTCTTCGTTACAGACTTCTAAGGACACCGGAGGCCTTATCAATTCATGACTTCAAGCCAGACCTTTGTCTACAAAAGAAGTAAGTACACTCTCTACTTCTGCCTTGGCCGTAGAGGGATTGATATTTATTTATTTTGTTTATTTAGTTATTCTATGTACATTTCCGTTGTTACTACGATTATTATTATTATTATAAATATTCTCATTCTGAATTCTTTCCGCTTTTATCAATAGTCATTTCAAACCCAAAATTAATAATTTTTATATTTGTTAGTTTAACAATATTGAATTCTAACTTATCACATTTCCCACCATGTTATGTAACATTTTATATTCCCTTACTAATCTTATAATTATGTACCACTTTCCCACATCTATACATCTTATGTATTACTCTATATATGACAGTAACTGTTTTGCTATTTGACATTTAGCTATGATTATAATCACAAATATTTTAATTGCATTTCATATTATTACTATTATTATTTCATGTATTCACACCTTTGACCTAATTCCCTCACCGGATATAATTTCTTAAAAATCATTCGCATATACGATAGTACAGCTTGATAAAAAAATTCGTTGTTAAAAAGAGTCTCTTCGCTGAAATCGACGTTATCTGAGGATTAGCACTGATGTAGACTGATGGATGATGAACTCGGTGGTAGAATACAGGGTAAATATTCCCTCGTGTTTGGAACTCGTCAGCTAACTGGATGTATTTGCATTATCCAGTTAGTGATGGTATTCCCATTGAGGCAGGTATATCCAGCTGAAACGAGCCCCAATTAGGACAAAATGTGTATCCTAGATTGACTCCACTTATAGTCACCATACGCCAGTTCACTTAAACGATATATTATTATTATTGAAATCAACCATAAAGACGGTAAACAAATAGTGGGACTCACCTTGAGATGTCGTTGTAGTGGCTGAAATAGATAAAAAGAGAGGCGAATTATTTGATTACATATTTATTTGCCTTCCACATCAATTTTCTCCAATGTAAATATGTTGTCACAATACAGGATTCATTTTGGACCTATCCTGTGACATTACAAACTCGAGACATGCATGTTCAATTCTAAGGCCCAAAGTAAAGAGGACGTTGGATGTGGAGTTTGATTAACAACATACAACTGTTCCTGATTCAGCCATTGAGACCTGATTCAATGGCCCATGAATTCTGCGATGAAACAGCTGTCCCTTGTAATCATTGGTTCTCTCAATGATATCAATCCGTGATCAACTCGTAAAATCCAAACTTATCCTTACAAACCGACTATATAGAACCAATTGCATCACTATATGAAAAGAATTCGAAAAATCAATAAAATTCTTGTAACTGTGTACTAGAAAATGTATTACTTAGTGTAAGGTGTAATCTAGGGGAGGATGGCTGTGTGGAGATTACAAATAGTTTCGAATGCACCCATTATACACAAACAAACCGCTCACTGGCCATTCGGAACCTGTAATCGAACTTCTGATTTCAGAAGGATTATATTTGCACACACACACACACACTCGACTTACACCGTGGTGAGAGTGACATTCTAACGATAGGTTTGCTTCATTTTTATTGTTCACACGCACAATTTATGTAAGCCCTTTACCGTATTTCCGATAGTTTCTGTCCAGTTTTGTGCATGTGAATTGATTTGTTATTTTTCACATATTTACTGTATAATCCTAACTTCTGTTTTAGTATCACATTTTCTGAAGTCCCGATAACTCGGTTGCATAATGTTTGCCAGCCACAAGTGACGTGGTAAGGGACTGGATTTCCGGCTAACACGATAACCTGGTAGTATGCTTAGTAAAGAGGGATGGTTGGGTGTGATATTAGAGACTATTATTCTTTCCTTTAATTCCAGAGGAGCATAGAATTCAACCGCACGTCTCCATTGCGTTCGGTTCTCTGTCAACATTTACACTTGCCTCCAAGTCTGCCAATATGCTTTCATCCTTTCTTCGTATAAGCTCCTCTTCCAGGTCGACCCACTCTCATACTGACGACCAATTCGCCACTTCCCATTCAGCTTCCACTCGACCGATGGCCTGGCGTGTGATGTCACTTGATGATGGGTTTTTTTTCTCAGAGTATGGCCAATCCACCTTCATTTCTTCCTCCATATTTCTCGCATATTCGGTTCCTGATGGGTTGGTTCACTCACTACAAGAGATCCATCCCTATCGCCGATCTTTTCTGGCCAGCCATCTGAACTTGTGTAGTATTGAGCCAAGACAAGCTACCTGTTGATGAAGGTCTGTAGTTTGTTTGAAGTGCTCTTCATGATGTTCCAAGTCTCTGATCCGTACAGTAAGTGGCAATGACTTCGAATTGGACTTTTAAATCCGGATCTCGTTTTTCATGCCCCTCACAGACTTTAGAGAGATGAGAGCTTGTCTTGCTTTCCCCGATCCTCGCTGCTCTGATATCTTCTTCAGTTTCGTCCACCTGCAGTTGAAACTATGCCTTTCAGATAGGTAGATAGGTAGTTAGGTGGAGGAGGTTGCTCCTTTCAGGTTTCTCCCATTTATGCTAGCTGATTGTTTTCTGTTGTTGTTGATGTTTCTGTTGACCAGGAATCTTCATCAGCTATCTCTGTCTCCTCTATGTTCATCTGAAGTGGGTCTTATATTCTCTGGATGCTTCTTACGCCAACTTGTTGCTTTTCACTTGCGTATCTTCCAAATTGTTGGAAATCAAACACATATATCACATTGGCAAAGTCCGGATCCTCCAAGCTTTTTGTGTGAGTTCATTTTGATGCCTGTTTTTCCGCTACCCAGCCCGCTCTCTGTCGAATTATTCAGCCTACCACCCTCGATCAGGAAAATCATTGGAGATAGTAGGCAGTCAACCAGCCAACTTGTCCTACTCGCGTCTTCACTTCTTCAAAGGATTCCGTGAGCTTCTGATTGTGGATTCCTTGATATGCAGCATTGTCGCACAACCGTTGGATGAGATGTATAATTGTCGACGGCATCCCGTCGTAGCCGAGTGATACTAGCAGCTTCAACCTGTGAAAGTTAAATTCCTGTCACTAAAACTTAAATGCTCCAGTATGAAGCTCTATACTCTAGGATATCTGAGAACACGAAAGAACGATGAAAGATTCCATTCTACATTATACCTCATTCTACGTGTTATATATTTTCCCAAAATAAGATGACCCAAATTCGTTCGTATAATTCCTCGTCACTTACAACTACTATTGTACAGATTTCTATGAAAATGCTTCATCGGAAAGTAGATTTTCTTAGATGTTAAGGGCTTCTCTTGTTGATTCAAGTTACTTTTGTCTAATTTACTGATATTTATCCATATAATATGTGTGTTTGTTTGATAGTCTGTTATATTTGCTAGGTATATATGGATCGATATTCCATTATAATTAGCTAATCATGTTAAGTCTGTCTATTGATTTGTTCATTTTGAATATTCGTTCACACACTTGTTCGGACATTCATATATTTTTGCTCTCACACACTTGAGTGACACTTCTGATTCTCCTTGTGTCTGGAAAATAGAAGTATCATCGCAAACCTGGTGGTCTTCTGATTTCCGTCTTTCTTGTGTCAGGACTATTAAATTCTCGACCAGTACATAACAATAATTTGGCGACGAGTACATAATATTTACTATTCAACTTATATACATACAAATAGTATCATTTATGTTTGTATGGCCACATTTTAGCAAGTTATTATTTTATTCAGTCTCGATTTCCCAGTTGACTGATTGAACCGACTTTCTGGGCCTTAGGTTGATATGTCAACTCCTTGAACAGATACTTCAACGACGTCTGATTATTTTGCTTCAAGCAAATTAATGGATGGGTGTCGGTGGCATAGCGGTAAAATGCTCACCGACCACGCATGTGGTCCGAGGCTCGATCCCCGGCAACGGACGCACTCCTTCAACTCGCTAAGCCAGTAATAAGACTGGTGAAGAGAGTAGGTCGGGCATGAGGCTAGCTAAACTACTGTCCTATGTTACACTGGGAACTTGAAGGAATAAAAACATTGGCTGAGAATGACTGCTGGGCGTGTCATCTAGGATGGGCATTTCCTCTTATTTGGAACTCATCAGCTAACTGGATGTATTTCCATTACCCAGTTAGTGATGGTATTCCCATTGAGGCAGGTATATCCAGCTGAGAACAGCCCCAATTAGGACGAAATGTGTATCCTAGATTGACTCCACTTATAGTCACCATACGCCAGTTCACTTAAACGATATATTATTATCATTGAAATCAACCATAAAGATGGTCAACCAATAGTGGGACTCACCTTGAGATGTCGTTGTAGTGGCTGAAATAGATAAAAAGAGAGGCGAATTAATCTGATTACATATTTATTTGCCTTCCACATCAATTTTCTCCAATGTAAATATGTTGTCACAATACAGGATTCATTTTGGACCTATCCTGTGACATTACAAACTCGAGACATGCATGTTCAATTCTAAGGCCCAAAGTAAAGAGGACGTTGGATGTGGAGTTTGATTAACAACTTACAACTGTTCCTGATTCAGCCATTGAAACCTGATTCAATGGCCCATGAATTCTGCGATGAAACAGCTGTCCCTTGTAATCATTGGTTCTCTCAATGATATCAATCCGTGATCAACTCGTAAAATCCAAACTTATCCTTACAAACCAACTATATAGAACCAATTGCATCACTATATGAAAAGAATTCGAAAAATCGATAAAATTCTTGTAACTGTGTACTAGAAAATGTATTACTTAGTGTAAGGTGTAATCTAGGGGAGGATGGCTGTGTGGAGATTACAAATAGTTTCGAATACACTCATTATACACAAACGAACCGCTCACTGGCCATTCGGAACCTGTAATCGAACTTCTGATTTCAGAAGGATTATATTTGCACACACACACACACACTCGACTTACACCGTGGTGAGAGTGACATTCTAACGATAGGTTTGCTTCATTTTTATTGTTCACACGCACAATTTATGTAAGCCCTTTACCGTATTTCCGATAGTTTCTGTCCAGTTTTGTGCATGTGAATTGATTTGTTATTTTTCACATATTTACTGTATAATCCTAACTTCTTGTTTTAGTATCACATTTTCTGAAGTCCCGATAACTCGGTTGCATAATGTTTGCCAGCCACAAGTGACGTGGTAAGGGACTGGATTTCCGGCTAACAACGAACGCAGTAACCACGGTAACCTGGTAGTATGCTTAGTAAAGAGGGTTGGTTGGGTGTGATATTAGAGACTATTATTCTTTCCTTTAATTCCAGAGGAGCATAGAATTCAACCGCACGTCTCCATTGCGTTCAGTTCTCTGTCAACATTTTCACTTGCCTCCAAGTCTGCCAATATGCTTTCATCCCTTCTTCACATAAGCTCCTCTTCGAGGTCAACCCACCCTCATACTGACGACCAACTCGCCGCTCCCGAATCAGGTTCCACTCAAGCGATGGCCTGGCGTGTCATATCACTTGATGATGGGTTTTTTTTCTCAGAGTATGGCCAATCCACCTTCATTTCTTCCTCCATATTTCTCGCATATTCGGTTCCTGATGGGTTGGTTCACTCACTACAAGAGATCCATCCCTATCGCCGATCTTTTCTGGCCAGCCATCTGGACTTGTGTAGTATTGAGCGAAGACAAGCTACCTGTTGATGAAGGTCTGTAGTTTGTTTGAAGTGCTCTTCATGATGTTCCAAGTCTCTGATCCGTACAGTAAGTAGCAATGACTTCGAATTGGACTTTTAAATCCGGATCTCGTTTTTCATGCCCCTCACAGACTTTAGAGAGATGAAAGCTTGCCTTGCTTTCCCCGATCCTCGCTGCTCTGATATCTTCTTCAGTTTCGTCCACCTGCAGTTGAAACTATGCCTTTCAGATAGGTAGATAGGTAGTTAGGTGGAGGAGGTTGCTCCTTTCAGGTTTCTCCCATTTATGCTCGCTGATTGTTTTCTGATGTTGTTGATGTTGAATCATCATCAGCTATCTCTGTCTCCTCTATGTTCATCTGAAGTAGGTCCTATATGTTCTGGATGCTTCTTACGCCAACTTATTGCTTTTCACTTGCGTATCTTCCAATTTGTTGGAAATCAAACACATATATCACATTGGCAAAGTCCAGATCATCCAAGCTTTTTGTGTGAGTTCATTTTGATGCCTGATTTTCCGCTACCCAGCCCGCTGTCTGTTGCATTATTCAGTCTACCGCCCTCGATCAGGAAAATCATTGGAGATAGTAGGCAGTCAGCCAGCCAGCTTGTCCTACTCGCGTCTTCTCATCTTCGAAGGATTCCGTGAGTTTCTGATTGTGGATTCCTTGGTATGCAGCATTGTCGTACAACCGTTGGATGAGATGTATAATTGTCGACGGCACCACGTAGTAGCCGAGTGATAATAGCAGCTTCAACCTGTGACAGTTAAATTCCTGTCACTGAAACTAAAATGCTCCAGTATGAAGCTCTATACTCTAGGATGTCTGAGAACACGAAGGAACGATGAAAGATTCCATTCTACATTATACCTCGTTCTACGTGATACATATTTTCCCAAAATAAGATGACCCAAATTCGTTCGTATAACTCCTCGTCACTTACAACTACTATTGTACAGATTTCTATGAAAATGCTTCATCGGAAAGTAGATTTTCTTAGATGTTAAGGGCTTTTGTTGTTGATTCAAGTTATATTTGTCTAATTTACTGATATATATCCATATAATATGTGTTTTGTTTGACAGTCTGATATATTTTGCTATGTATATATGGATCGATATTCCATTATAATTAGCCAATCATGTTAAGACTGCCTATTGATTTGTTCATTTTGAATATTCGTTCACACAATTGTTCGTACATTCATATACTTTTGCTCTCACACTCTTGTGTGACGTTGATTCTCCTTGTGTCTGTAAAATAGAAGGATCATCGCAAACCTAGTGGTCTTCTGATTTCCGTCTTTCTTGCGTCCGGACTATTCAATTCTCGACCAATAAATAACAATAATATGGCGACGAGTACATAATATTTACTATTCAACTTATATACATACAAATAGTATCAGTTATGTTTGTATGGCCACATTTTAGCAAGTTATTATTTTATTCAGTCTCGATTTCCCAGTTGACTGATTGGATCAACTTTCTGGGCCTTAGGTTGATATGTCAACTCCTTGAACAGATACTTCAACGACGTCTGATTATTTTACTTCAAGCAAATTAATGGATGGGTGTCGGTGGCATAGCGGTAAAATGCTCATCGACCACGCATGTGGTCCGAGGCTCGATCCCCGGCAACGGACGCACTCCTTCAACTCTTTAAGCCAGTAATAAGACTGGTGAAGAGAGAAGGTCGGGCATGAGCCTAGCAAACCCATCCCGTTAAAATAAACACCACTGTCCTATGTTACACTTGGAACTTGAAGGAATATAAGAATTGGTTGAGAATGACTGCTAGCCGTGTCATCTAGGATGGTCATTTCCTCTTATTTGGAACTCATCAGCTAACTGGATGTCTTTGCATTATCCAGTTAGTGATGGTATTCCCATTGAGGCAGGTATCTCCAGCTGAAACGAGGCCCAATTAGGACGAAATGTGTATCCTAGATTGACTCCACTTATAGTCACCATACGCCAGTTCACTTAAACGATATATTATTATTGAAATCAACCATAAAGACGGTAAACCAATAGTGGGACTCACCTTGAGATGTCGTTGTAGTGGCTGAAATAGATAAAAAAGAGGCGAATTATTTGATTATGCACTTAATTCAGAAGTAATCCATTGCCTACCCTATGAATTTCCGCCGATGGAAATATCTTGGAACAATACATGACATTAAGTCATTCATTCACTCATGTATTTTGGTCATTTCCTGTGACATTATAGACTTGAGAATTGATGTCCTGGTTCTGAGGCCCTAACTAGAACCCAGAGGACAACTGCTTGAGGCTGATCACACACTGCCTGTATGAACTGTTTCCTTGGTTTGCTTCAGTTTTAGTAAACTTACCGCCGGTTACGGACCACCGTAGGTGTGGTAAGTCGGGATGTACAATTGTGGGGGTTGACCTTTTCTAACCCTCTCTCTCCGGAGTGGAGAGACAGCATAGCTGGTCATTTGAGGGAAACTGTTGTTATATCCTTGTTCCTTAGGAGTACGACTTCGCCCACAGACCCCCAGCATAGTATAAAATAAATTCTTACACAATGCCGGTAACTGCTTTTAGTCTCATCACTATCCTAACAACCTTCCTGGTATAGTAGGACCTACAGGAACAATAGTTTCAGCCAGTGTAGCTTGTTACATCATTGCGATGTGCATGCCTGACCACGACACCAAGGTAGCTCGGGAAAACCGTTCTTTAAGCTTACATATGTATCTTTAGTCAATCATATTTGATGTAAGCATGACTTGATTCCAGTCAGCTGAATGTATAAGTGCATAAACTTATGAATTATCCCTAATGGGAAAATCGGTTAAAGTGAATTTGTGATTAACCTTTCCCTTGAAACAATTCAATTTTTGAGAGATTTGACGGTGCATTGTCAGATTGAAGTCTAATCCGGGACTATGTGCTGAGTGGTTGGTGAACATTCTATCGCTGAATCACTGATAGACTACCGGCGTCACAACCGTGGGATGGATGTATGATACCGCTACGCCAGTGCTACTGAAACGTTATAGCTCAATCATAAAACCATATGTTCCATTCTGAACACAAGGAAGTGAGGAAAAATTCTCTTCTAGGTTACAGTTTCCATTAAGCGACTTTTAGAGTGATATTCTCCAACCTCCTTCTGCTTCATAGCAGTGTGAAGGACAGACATCTGCATATGACCAGTTCAATGCATATGCGTCATTCTATGCGGGTCCTATCAAATCGTGTTAGAGAACACTACCCAGCAAGGCTGCAAACAAGAGGCAATAGTCCAATCAGGAGGCCCATATCTGAACACCTCGTCGACCAGCACCTGTCACAGCATCTCAAACGACTCATCCTTTGGGTAATTTACAAAGTAAACAAAAATCTACCAAAAGCAGTGTTTTACCGACTTCTTTGTACTGCAGAATCCCTCACCATATGCATCGAAGCACTAGAGCTATCTCCTCAAAATAAACTCGTCGAACTTCTACATTTTACCATGAATTTAGTTCGGTTTGTCTCCTCAGATCCCACGCTATCATCCCCTTTCAACTTGTTTCCATGTTCATCCCATTCACACCCTTATTCGTTAGAAAACTATTTTCTAATCCTGCAGTATGCACTCAACTAACTACTGAAAATTAATCTGATACCCACTATTGACGGACTGAACGACAAAGTCGTCTGGAGTTCTTGTGATAGGCCATGACCAGTGAAGTTACACCCCCTGTGAGAGTGAGGACAAATACGTGCCTGACACTGCTTGGTGCAAGTTACGCTAAAATCACGAGTTCATAGAAGCTGGAATTCAATGTCTGGCCATTGAATTCAATCCCAGTGTCTGAATGGTCTATTTACGAGCTTAACTTGTAATCAGGCAATCTCTGGTTCGAATCCCTGTGATGATGGTTACGTGTTGTGAGAAGTCCCGAACTAGGACGAAAAAGACTGTCCAGTAATCCTTGACTTTTTCAGTCGTTTTTTTCATTCCGAGGTCACATTTTTAAAGAAGTCAAGTCTTCAGAAACAAACTTTTGAGAAACCGTAATTATTATTTAAATGAGCCATAAAAAACGATGTACGATGAGTAAAACTCACGTTGAGGTGTCGTTGAAGTTGCTGAAACATACAAAAAGAGGTAATTTATTTGATCATGTATATATAAGTAACACATGATCGCCTTCCACCTCAATATTCTCTGATCGCAGCATGTAATCGTAATACAGATTATGATTTCATCAATTCATTTTGTGTATATCCTTCGACATCAGAGATACGAGATACAAAGAATATGAATCTATGAATACTATAGGATAAGAATTTCTACTGCCCTTTTGAGATGTGTGTGATTATTCTTGAATGTTTTCTAGGCATACAATAAAATGTAATCACTGAACTATCTGGCGCTGATATGCGACGTCTGTCTTTTGGTGCGGAGTAATCAGCAGGATTCAACAAGTTGACTGTGAGGTGGAATTCTCACCGATGGCATTAGCTGGAGGTAGTGCATTATATCCCTGACTGGTAAAATTGATTGACAGAATTGAATAAATTCAAAATCTCTGAATTAATTTGCCATTCACACAATTCAAGGAGGCGGAATTTCACTAGTTTCCTTTTTGAAACCGGACTGTTCAGATCGCAGTATGCGATCTGCTTCATACGATAGACGGTAATCAAGAAACCAAGCTTAAATGAATTCAGCTAATATACTACTGATTGACTGGGGTGAGTAGTATACAAGTGACATCAAACAACATGGCTTCCTAGCCAGACAAAAAAATGACCTAACCACGAGACTCCCGTTAAACCTGTTTCCAGCTGACCTTATCAGTGACTCACTATCTTTGAACTGGTCAAGAGGGCTTGGTCAGTTTACACCACCAGATTTCTGGCTATCTGCTTGAAATAACTAGCATTACTGTTAATCATTCCTTCGAAGTGAAGACGGGAGTAAGATACGCTGGCTGGCTGGCTGACTGCCTACTATCTCCAATGATTTTCCTGATCGAGGGCGGTAAACTGGATAATGCGACGAACAGTGGGCTTGGCAATGAGGAAACAGGCCTAAAATGGACCCACACAAAAACTTGGGGGATTTGAACTTAGCGGATGTGGTATATATGTCTGATTTCCCACAAATTGGAAGATATGCAAGTGAAAAGCAACAAGTTGGCAGAAGAAGTATCCAGAGAAGATAGAACTTCAGGTAAACGTAGAGAAAATGGACGTGATGAAGATTCTTGGCCAACAACAGCAACAACAACAACAGAAAACAATCAACCAGCATAAATAGGAGAAATCTGAAAGAACCATGCCCTTTACCTAACAACCTATCTACCTACCTGGGAAGCATCTTTTCAACTACAGGCGGACAGAAATGATGAGGATATCAAAGCAGCGAGGATTGGGAAATCAAGGGCATCTTTCATTACTCTCAAGTCTGTGTGGAGATCAACATTCAGCATTCAGCATGAAAATGAAGATGGAATGCGGATTTACAATTCCAATGTGAAGTCAGTGCTACTCACTATAGGTATCAGGGACTTGGTGCCGCACCACATCATCAACAGATGTCTTCGCTCAAAACTACTCAAGAACGGATGGCCAGCCAGAAAACGTTAGCAACAGGGATAGATCTCTGGCGATGAGCGAACCAACCCAATAGGAACCAATTGTGCAAGAAATATGCATTAAAAATTGAAGGTGGATTGGCCATACTCTGAGAAAACAAACCATCATCAAGTGACATCACACGTCAGGCCGTCGCTCGAGTCGAACCCAAGTGTGAAGCGACGAGTCAGTTGATCATGAGTACAAGAGTGGGGTTGTGGTGAGAGCAGGCCGTGAGAAAATATGTACAAGGCTGATTCAACAACCAATCACAGCAAAGTTAACGTGGTAAAATATGATTCGCAGATAGAGAACTCTATTTTTCGAGGAATCCCGAAACAGCCAATCAGAAGCCTGCGTTTGTCTGCCTAACTTCTGATAAACAACCAATCAGATGACTGCGCTTGTCTACTTGAATAAGCTATAATAATGTATGTGAAATTTATATAAATACGTGTTGATTTTCATAATAAAACGATCTGTTGCCTGGCCCTTGTCTTCTGTTGTTACAGGGTGACATGGAGGAGATGATGTGAAGAGGAAGAGATGAAAGCATGTGGACAGACGTGGAGTCAAGTGAAAAAGTTGGCAGAGAACCGAATACAATGGAGACGTGTTGCTGAAGCCATATGTTCCTCCAGGAATTAAAGCAAGCAGTAATAATAATAATAATAATTATATCGTTAATCATATTTGTAATTTAAAACTTATCTGTAATAATATACGCAGTTCGAAGACGTAAAAATTCACTACATTTTCCATTGAAATTTGAAATATATATATACGGCTTCTTGAGCTGAGATCGACTGAACTCATTGCTAATATGGCTTTGATAGAAACTACTCATATTAGTCAACCAATACCATATACTTTAATGCGAAAAATTCACAACCCCTCTATTTACTAATGACCATTCGGGCACAATTTGTTAATACTGATAATCATATCAAGGCATTATTCACACAGCTTACGAAGTTCATCCAAATAATTCCACTATCTCTCATCTCTCCATCTGAGTGGCTGTACGATTTTACACATTTCTGGTTTGAATAATAAGTCATTCCTATTGTGCACGCGTGTTGGGTGTAGATTCTATGAAAGAAGATTCGGTAATCACCCTCAAACTCTCTCTCTCTCTCACCATGTACCTATATTACTTTCTAGAATTGTAACTCTGTGCCGTGGTGTTCTGTAGTTGCGTGTTAATGCATGTGTAGTGCAACTGCTGAGTTTTTTTTAAATTACTGATCCTCATGGGATTAATCATTCTAGCCTTAGCTAAATTCTTATTTTCTTATCATCTGACTTGGCCAGAAAAGATCAGCAACAAAGATCTCTGGGGCGAACCAATCAGGACCCGATTGTGAAACAAATAGGCAGGAAGAAATGGAGATGGATTGGCCATACGCTGAGGAAACCATCAAGTGACATCACTAGACAAGTCATTGCTCGAGTGGAACCCGAAAGGGAAGCGGCGAGTTGGTCGTCAGTGCAAGGGTGACTTGGAGGAGTTCATGTGAGGAGGAGATGAAAGCATGTGGGTGGCAAACCTGGAGCGGGTGAAAAAGTTGTCAGAAAGCAGAAGGCAATGGAGACGCGCAGCTGAAGCCCTATGTTCCTCTAGGAACTAAAGGATAGAATAATAATAAGAATAATATCATCTGACTACTCTCGATCTACTAATTTGACGTGTATATTTTACCTCATTCACAGTCATTGGAAGGTATTATGTAAATTATATTATTTTGTTTAATTGAGGCGATAGGGTCGTCTAACATAAAAAGCTTGTCCTACTCGCCTGAGTCTGTAGGTTTAAATGCCACCCTAATTCCTGCTCTATCAACAATCCTACGTAGGGTCTCACATTTCCCCTGTTTAGATGTTAAAAACCATGGTAGATGCCTTATATTCTTTCTTATTTATGCTCTCATTATTAGTTACACCAATATTTTTGTTTCGCTATGTGACCGTTTTCAAACTTCCTAATGAATTTTACAGGATAGCTAGTTATTTAACACTATCCAGCTATCCTTCTGCCTGTTTTATTTCATCACTTAAGTTTTTTGTGTTGTATTACTCAGTGCTATTACTAGATTTGGTAGGTATGCCTTAACAAAGCTTTTCATTTCATATGAATTTCTGAAGCGAGTACATTTCTGAACTCGATCTGAAACAAGTAAAACGTCTGTCCAATGCCTATATCATTTTGACCTGGTTGGCCAGCAAGAACCACCGGTTGATATGAATCGTATCTGACTACTCATCTCAATGGAACAGTAGTAGATAGTTTATGCTAAAGTTAGAATTTACTTGCCATCGGATTCCCCCCCCCATCAAGTTTCTAAATGGTCAACGAACCCACCTAGTAGTCTGAAGATCAGCAGTTCGATCTCTGGCAGGGTCTGCAAACGAAAAGAAAAGAATGATTCCCTATGCCTCTAGTTTTTATATGACCCAGTAAATGAAGTCATCTGATTCTAGCAGTTGAAACCAATTATATCCCTGCAAATCAACTATCGACAATGAAGTGTTTTTTAGAATTTTGATGTGGTCATAACTTTGAGCATATATTTCGAAAATATTAAGAATTTGCTCGATATATTCCGTTTTATTGAAATGCTGCCGAGAACAATAAAAAAACAAGCTAAGTATTATTTCAGGAATCTGCAGAGGAAACATGCTTGAAAATGGTGGTAAGACTATACTTGTCAGAAAGAGGAAAACATTATAGCTCTAATTTATCTAATACAAGTACTTTCAGAAGTCACTCAGAACATTTGGATCAGAAGTGCACGGGCAGACTTATTTTGGGCTTTGTTCATATATTACAGTATTCAAAAATGTGTTTCGTCTCTGCTTATTACAATATGACTGTGGCATGATGCAGATGGATAGGAAGCGTCCAAAACAAGAATCAACATTTTTTTTATTACAGCTTGATTCCACCCTGTATTTTTGGTACAAGTATGGAATTTTCAGCGTGGATATCGGTAGCCCAAATTTCGCAGGCCGACCATAGATATCAGGTGTGCGTCAGTGAGGGCTCGAACCCCGGACCATGTGCATGGTCGGCGAGAGTCCTAACCACTGTGCCACCGACGAACAGATCACTGACTGCAGAGTTAATGTTGTAAACATGAAATAACCTCGTTGGACAATTTATTTATTCTTAGATAAGTAGCCGATCAATCAGAACAGCCTATTTTCCTCTAACCCAGGTAAACTTTAATGCGGCTGAGAATGTCACCGTCCTTTATCAAGTCGCTTATCTCCTCCTGATAATTTGTGTGTTCAGTATTGAAAAGCAGAAGACAACTCAATTGACTTTAAATGTTGGTTTGCAGTAATTTGATTGATTGGTTACAGGATTTCATCATGAGTTGACACTGGTTAGAGAAACATCGGAAAACTTGCAAGGAGTAATGGACAGCTAATTGTTTCGTCCTAGTTTGGACTCTTCATCAGTACGCACCCACCGCCAAGATTCGAATCCAGAACCTTCTGAATACAAGGCGAACTCGTAGACCATTAAGCCACCGGGACCCGATCCAATAGGTTCGAATCCCGGTGGGTGCGTACTGAAGAAGAGTCCCAAATTAGGACGAAACGACGGTCCAGTACCTCCAGGTTTTCCAATGGTTCTCTAACCAATGTCAGCTCATGATGAAATCGTGTAATCAATGGGCTTAAGCTTCTTTTAACCCCTCCCTATCGGAATGATATAACCTCCACTTTTTCCAATTACTTCAACAACTTGAGGCTCTTTTTCGAATGTTGATTCACAGCGATTTGATTTTTTTTTCAAGCGTGAAGAAAAAACTGACTTCAGTCAGAGAATAGCTGAGAGACAGCGATTACTGGAAGAAGCTGAGATCGTGATTGCGCCATCTGAAGATTTCGAAATTAGAAAGAAACAGTTTTCCAATGCTTTTTAGTCTATAATCGTTCTCTAACTCAAGACATATCCTGGTCAGTCTTGAAATTAAGGGTTCATCTGCTCATTCAAACCTTTTTTAACGCAGTTTATACTACTGATTTATTTATTTAAGTAGATGGAATATTAAGTAAAAAATAAATCAGTAATTCATATGAACTGTGATCAACATTTGACTGAATAGTTCGTAAATAACTGGATATCAGGTGAGACGTAGGCATGAGTAAAAAATTTGCCGACTATACTCTTGAATCAAATATTTTTCTCCACAGCCTTTATAAAGGATATTTAAAAAGTGAAGATAAGGATAAATCAAAACCTACTGCTAAGAAGTGGGTTAGTAATACACTGGTGATCCTTCATCGCAAAAGAAACCTCAGATGAAGTAAAGCGAATTATTAATATTCATGAAATAAGAGTGTGCAATGGAAACTTTACTTTCATCACTGGTGAAGTTTCAAGATAATATTAGATGGTTAGAGGCAGTCGGCAGGAATCCTTTATCCACCTAAGTTTCGTGCTAGTGGGCTGTCTGTCGCATTATTCAGTCTACCGCCCTCGATCAGGAAAATCATTGGAGATAGTAGGCAGTCAGCCAGCCAGCTTGTCCTACTCGCGTCTTCACTTCTTTGAAGGACTCCGTGAATTTCCCGTAATGGATCACATGGGATACAACATTACCGTACAACTGTTGAATGAGATGTATAATTGTCGACGGCACCCCGTAGTAGCCGAGTGATAATAGCAGCTTCAACCTGTGACAGTTAAATCCCTGTCACTGAAACTTAAATGCTCCAGTATGAAGCTCTATACTCTAGGATGTCAAGGAACACGAAAGAACGATGAAAGATTCCGTTCTACATTATACCTCATTCTACGTGATACATATTTTCCCGAAACAAGATGACCGAAATTCGTTCATATAATTCCTCGTCACTTACAACTACTATTGTACAGATTTCTATGAAAATGCTTCATCGGAAAGTAGATTTTCTTAGATGTTAAGGGCTTCTGTTGTTGATTCAAGTTACTTTTGTCTAATTTACTGATATATATCCATATAATATGTGTTTTTGTTTGACAGTCTGATATATTTTGCTATGTATATATGGATCGATATTCCATTATAATTAGCCAATCATGTTAATACTGTCTATTGATTTGTTCATTTTGAATATTCGTTCACACACTTGTTCGGACATTCATATATTTTTGCTCTCACACTCTTGTGTGACATTGATTCTCCTAGTGTTTGGAAAATAGAAGTATCATCGCAAACCCAGTGGTCTTCTGATTTCCGTCATTCTTGCGTCAGGACTAATAAATTCTCGACCAGTACATAACAATAATTTGGCGACGAGTACATAATATTTACTATTCAACTTATATATATACAAATAGTATCATTTATGTTTGTATGGCCACATTTTAGCAAGTTATTATTTTATTCAGTTTCGATTTCCCAGTTGACTGATTGGATCAACTTTCTGGGCCTTAGGTTGATATGTCAACTCCTTGAACAGATACTTCAACGATGTCTGATTATTTTGCTTCAAGCAAATTAATGGATGGGTGTCGGTGGCATAGCGGTAAAATGCTCACCGACCACGCATGTGGTCCGAGGCTCGATCCCCGACAACGGACGCACTCCCTTACCTCGCTAAGCCAGTAATAAGACTGGTGAAGAGAGAAGGTCGGGCATGAGGCTAGCAAACCCATCCCGTTAAAATAAACACCACTGTCCTATGTTACACTTGGAACTTGAAGGAATATAAGAATTGGTTGAGAATGACTGCTAGCCGTGTCATCTAGGATGGTCATTTCCTCTTATTTGGAACTCATCAGCTAACTGGATGTATTTGCATTACCCAGTTAGTGATGCTATTCCCATTGAGACAAGTATATCCAGCTGAGAAGAGCCCCAATTAGGACGAAATGTGTATCCTAGATTGACTCCACTTATAGTCACCATACGCCAGTTCACTTAAACGATATATTATTCTTATTGAAATCAGCCATAAAGACGGTAAACCAATAGTGGGACTCACCTTGAGATGTCGTTGTAGTGGCTGAAATAGATAAAAAAGAGGCGAATTATTTGATTATGCACTTAATTCAGAAGTAATCCATTGCCTACCCTATGAATTTCCGCCGATGGAAATATCTTGGAACAATACATGACATTAAGTCATTCATTCACTCATGTATTTTGGTCATTTCCTGTGACATTATAGACTTGAGAAATGATGGCCTGTTTTTGAGGCCCTGACTAAAGCCCAGGGGACAACTGCTTGAGGCTGGTCACACACTGCCTGTATCAACTGGTTCCTTGGTTTGCTTCAGTTCTAGTAAACTTACCGCCGGTTACGGACCACCGTAGGTGTGGCAAGTCGGGATGTACAATTGTGGGGGTTGACCTTTTCTAACCCTCTCTCTCCGGAGTGGAGAGACAGCATAGCTGGCATGCTGGTCATTTGAGGGAAACTGTTGTTACATCCTTGTTCCTTAGGAGTACGACTTCGCCCACAGACCCCCAGCATAGTATAAAATAAATTCTTATACAATGCCGGTAACTACTTTTAGTCTCATCACTATCCTAACAACCTTCCTGGTATAGGAGGACCTACAGGAACAATAGTTTCAGCCAGTGTAGCTTGTTACATCATTGCGATGTGCAAGCCTGACCACGACACCAAGGTGGCTCGGGAAAACCGTTCTTTAAGCTTATGTATGTATCTTTAGTCAATCATATTTGATTTAAGCATGACTTGATTCCAGTCGACCAAGTGTATAAGTGCATAAACTTATGAATTATCCTTAATGGGAAAATCGGTTAAAGTGAATTTGTGATTCACCTTTCCCTTGAAACAATTCAATTTTTGAGAGATTTGACAGTGCATTATCAGATTGAAGTCTAATCCGGGACTATGTGCTGAGTGGTTGGTGAACATTTTATCGCTGAATCACTGACAGACTACCGGCGTCACAACCGCCAGATGGATGTATGATACAGCTACGCCAGTGCTACTGAAACGTCATAGCTCAATCATGAAACCATATGTTCCATTCTGAACACAAGGATATGAGAAAAATTCTCTTCTAGGTTACAGTTCCCATTAAGCGACTTTTAGAGTGATATTCTCCAACCTCTTACTGCTTCAAAGCAGTGTGAAGGACAGACTTCTGCATATGACCAGTTCAATGCATATGCGTCATTCTATGCGGGTCCTATCAAATTGTGTTAGAGAACACTACCCAGCATGGCTGCAAACAAGAGGCAATAGTCCAATCAGGAGGGCCATATCTGAACACCTCGTCGACCAGCACCTGTCACAGCATCTCAAACGACTCATCCTTCAGGGTAATTTACAAAGTAAACAAAAATCTACCAAAAGCAGTGTTTTACCGACTTCTTTGTACTGCAGAATCCCTCACCATATGCATCGAAGCACTAGAGCTATTTGTTCAAAATAAACTCGTCGAACTTCTACATTTTACCATGAATTTAGTTCGGTTTGTCTCCTCAGATCCCACGCTATCATCCTCTTTCAACTTGTTTCCATGTTCATCCCATTCACACCTTTATTCGTTAGAAAATTATTTTCTAACCCTGTATAATTCTGTCACCAAGCCCATTGTAATCTATATTCCTACCTTTCAACTTTCAAGGTAAAAATGACTGTGATCCTCACTCTCATTATCTGCTATGTAGAATTAAATAAATAAAAACTGTGTCCATGTAAACTTATGTATATAAATGCAACTGTACAGCTGCTTTTGAGAATGAAATCACTGAAACGGTATCAGTTTGCTGAACGCTTTGTTATTCGCTCTCTAATATACTAGAGTTTTCTTTTTACCAAGAAATGCCTTTCAAGTTTCATCACGAGTTGGTATTAGTTAGTGAACTATTGAGAACCAGGGAGTATTTAATAACTGTTTCGTCCTAACTTGAGACTCATCGGCAGTATGCACTCAACTAACTACTGAAAATTAATCTGATACCCACTAGTAACGGATTGAACGACAGAGTCGTCTGGAGTTCTTGTGACAGGTCATGACCAGTGAAGTTACACTCCATTGAGAGTGAAGACAAATACGTGGCTGACACTGCTTGGTGCAAGTTACGCTAAAATCACAAACACGAGAGAGCCAGACAGGCTTTAGACCAGGAAGAGGGTGTATTGATCATATCTTCACCCTTCGACAGATTCTAGAACATAGGCATTCCTACCGGCGTCCAACAGTCATTATATTTCTTGACCTAAAGGCAGCATTCGACTCTGTCGATCGGGAAGTTCTCTGGAGATGCTTGGCTGTAAAGGGAATTCCAAGAAAATATATTGCACTGATTAAGGTACTCTACTCGTACTCATACAGCCAGGTGAGGGCTTACGGCGAGCTGTCATCTGAACTGATGACGACCAGTGGTGTCCGTCAAGGATGCCCATTATCTCCTTTTCTATTCAACTTCATCATAGATGTGTTAATGGACTTAACCCTAAGTGACTTCAGCGACTCAGGGATTGACTTGCTACGAGGGAATAATCTCGTTGACTTGGAATATGCAGATGATATAGTCCTTCTAGGCGAGGACGCTGACGAAATGCAGAGTCTTCTAAACACCTTGAGCCGCAATCTACGAATGTTTGGCATGCGATTCGCTCCCGCCAAATGCAAGATGATGTTACAGGACTGGACTACATCGACGCCTTGTTTAAAAATAGGAAGTGAAGTGGTGGAGCACATTGACCGCTTCACTTATTTGGGAAGTACCATCAGCCAACGCCAACAGGTTGATCTCTGACGAAATCTCAGCACGAATACAGAGGGCTAGCTTCGCATACGACAGTTTACGCTGACTCTGGCGTAGACGAGATGTTCGACTATCGACCAAAGGGCGGGTGTACTGCTCATCAGTCCGCTCCGTACTCTTTTATGGCTGTGAGTGAGACCTGGCCACTGAGAGTGGAAGACATGAAAAGACTAGCTGTCTTTGATCATAGGTGCCTGCGCTCAATTTCCCGTGTAAAGTGGCATAATAAGGTGAGCAACATTGATGTTAGGCGCCAAGTTCTAGGTAAGGAGGGGAAATCAATCGACGAAGTCGTGAAGTTACAAAGACTGAGATGGTTAGGACATGTGTTACGTATGCCAAGCCATCGCCTCCCTCGACGAGCAATGTTAGCGGATATAGGGTCAGGCTGGAAAAAAGCTAGCGGCGGTCAAACAAAAACTTGGCACCAGTCAATGAAATCCACAACAGTTGGTCTAAGCCAGTCACGTAGGAAGGTGTAGACTTCCAGGCTGGGGTCTTCGCGACGGTAAAAATCTTTGGTGGGAAACAATTGGTGACATGGCTCAAAATCGTTCTCAGTGGCCAGCGCAGATGCATCCACTCCTTGTGACTTATGATCTCCAATGAAACTGTTTTGTTCTTCGTTATTACTCTTCATTTGTCTCACACCTCTGCTCACTGTTTCTATTATGCTTTTCTTGTACTTTCTTCTCTTGCTTCGCGTGCTACACGGAATGTGGCGACTTGAACTTCCGCACATTTGTGCAAAGTTCTATGTCAAAAACAGACAGACAGACAGACAGACAGACGCTAAAATCACGAGTTCATAGAAGCTGGAATTCAATGTCTGGCCATTGAATTCAATCCCAGTGTCTGAATGGTCTATTTACGAGCTTAACTTGTAATCAGGCAATCTCGGGTTCGAATCCCTGTGATAATGGTTACGTGTTGTGAGAAGTCCCGAACTAGGACGAAAAAGACTGTCCAGTAATCCTTGACTCTTTCAGTCGTTTTTTTTTTCATTCCAAAGTCACATTTTGAAAGAAGTTCAGTCTTCAGAAACAAACTTTTGAAAAACCGTAATTATTATTTAAATGAGCCATAAAAAACGATGTACAATGAGTAAAACTCACGTTGAGGTGTCGTTGAAGTTGCTGAAACATACAAAAAGAGGCAATTTATTTGATCATATATATATATATATATAACAGATGATCGCCTTCCACCTCAGTATTCTCTGATGACAGCATGTAATCGTAATACACATTATGATTTCATCAATTCATTTTGTGTATATCCTTCGACATCAGAGATACGAGATACAAGGAATATGAATCTATGAATACTACAGGATAAGAATTTCTACTGCCCTTTTCAGATGTGTGTGATTATTCTTGAATGTTTTCTAGGCATACAATAAAAGGTAATCACTGAACTATCTGGCGCTGATATGCGACGTCTGTCTTTTGGTGCGGAGTAATCAGCAGGATTCAACAAGTTGACTGTGAGGTGGAATTCTCACCGATGGCATTAGCTGGAGGTAGTGCATTATATCCCTGACTGGTAAAATTGATTGACAGAATTGAATAAATTCAAAATCTCTGAATTAATTTGCCATTCACACAATTCAAGGAGGCGGAATTTCACTAGTTTCCTTTTTGAAACCGGACTGTTCAGATCGCAGTATGCGATCTGCTTCATACGATAGACGGTAATCAAGAAACCAAGCTTAAATGAATTCAGCTAATATACTACTGATTGACTGGGGTGAGTAGTATACAAGTGACATCAAACAACATGGCTTCCTAGCCAGACAAAAAAATGACCTAACCACGAGACTCCCGTTAAACCTGTTTCCAGCTGACCTTATCAGTGACTCACTATCTTTGAACTGGTCAAGAGGGCTTGGTCAGTTTACACCACCAGATTTCTGGCTATCTGCTTGAAATAACTAGCATTACTGTTAATCATTCCTTCGAAGTGAAGACGGGAGTAAGATACGCTGGCTGGCTGACTGCCTACTATCTCCAATGATTTTCCTGATCGACGGCCGTAAACTGGATAATGCGAAGAACAGCGGGCTTGGCAATGAGGAAACAGGCCTAAAATGGACCCATACAAAAACTTGAAGGATTTGAACTTAGCGGATGTGGTATATATGTCTGATTTCCCACAAATTGGAAGATATGCAAGTGAAAAGCAACAAGTTGGCAGAAGAAGTATCCAGAGAAGATAGAACTTCAGGTAAACGTAGAGAAAATGGACGTGATGAAGATTCTTGGCCAACAACAGCAACAACAACAACAGAAAACAATCAACCAGCATAAATAGGAGAAATCTGAAAGAACCATGCCCTTTACCTAACAACCTATCTACCTACCTGGGAAGCATCTTTTCAACTACAGGCGGACAGAAATGATGAGGATATCAAAGCAGCGAGGATTGGGAAATCAAGGGCATCTTTCATTACTCTCAAGTCTGTGTGGAGATCAACATTCAGCATTCAGCATGAAAATGAAGATAAAATGTGGATTTTTAATTCCAATGTGAAGTCAGTGCTACTCACTATAGGTATCAGGGACTTGGTGCCGCACCACATCATCAACAGATGTCTTCGCTCAAAACTACTCAAGAACGGATGGCCAGCCAGAAAACGTTAGCAACAGGGATAGATCTCTGGCGATGAGCGAACCAACCCAATAGGAACCAATTGTGCAAGAAATATGCATTAAAAATTGAAGGTGGATTGGCCATACTCTGAGAAAACAAACCATCATCAAGTGAAATCACACGTCAGGCCATCGCTCGAGTGGAAGCCAAGTGTGAAGCGACGAGTCAGTTGATCATGAGTACAAGAGTGGGGTTGTGGTGAGAGCAGGCCGTGAGAAAATATGTACAAGGCTGATTCAACAACCAGTCACAGCAAAGTTAACGTGGCAAAATATGATCCGCAGATAGAGAACTCTATTTGTCGAGGAATCCCGAAACAACCAATCAGAAACCTGCGTTTGTCTGCCTAACTTCTGATAAACAACCAATCAGATGACTGCGCTTGTCTACTTGAATAAGCTATAATAATGTATGTGAAATTTATATAAATACGTGTTGATTTTCATAATAAAACGATCTGTTGCCTGGCCCTTGTCTTCTGTTGTTACAGGGTGACATGGAGGAGATGATGTGAAGAGGAGGAGATGAAAGCATGTGGACAGACGTGAAGTCAAGTGAAAAAGTTGGCAGAGAACCGAATACAATGGAGACGTGTTGCTGAAGCCATATGTTCTTACTTACTTTACTTTACTTCGGCTATCTCCTACGGGAGGATGAGCCGGCTTCATGAACGTCTCGAATCATCGCTGCCCAGGCGCGGCAATTTGTAAGAGAGTTCATGGAGTTACATGGGAATTTGGTACGAGTGATGTCCCCAGAATCGCTCGGCCTTTGTTTGAGAGTGCAGCTCTAGGCTTTACACAACCAAGTGTGACCTACAAGGCAGTGGGAGTGGAGTAAGGAGTCCACTATCCATTGGCAGCCGATGACCGGAGTTCGGTTCATACGCCTTTTGAATGGGGCCAGACATCCAGGACATCCAACAAGCCCTTTGTCCATACGTCTGCCGGTGAGCTCCAGTGAGCTTCATACGCCAATCGTTGGAGGTTTGGAATCAGGGTTTAGCCATCTCCCCTGGACTGTCATCCAATGGACAGTCAACCCGGTGGAGAGCGCCGGGCATCCGCTTTTGCCCTCTCACTTTGGTGAGAAACACCTCCGCCACGTGAAGGCAGTGAGTAGGACTTCCTCAAGAGAGGCTATGTAAGACGCCCGGTCATATGGGAGCATTTCAAGAGGTGTGCGGAGGGGTGTTCCTCTAGGAATTAAAGAAAGCAGTAATAATAATAATTATATCGTTAATCATATTTGTAATTTAAAACTTATCTGTAATAATATACGCAGTTCGAAGACGTAAAAATTCACTACATTTTCCATTGAAAATTGAAATATATATATACGGCTTCTTGAGCTGAGATCGACTGAACGCATTGCTAATATGGCTTTGATAGAAACTACTCATATTAGTCAACCATTATCATATACTTTCATACGAAAAATTTACAACCTCTCTATTTACTAATGACCATTCGGGCACAATTTGTTAATGCTGATAATCATATCAAGGCATTACTCACACAGCTTACAAAGTTCATTCAAATAATTCCACTATCTCTCATCTCTCCATCTGAGTGGCTGTACGATTTTACATATTTCTGGTTTGAACAATAAGTCATTCCTATTGTGCACGCGTGTTGGGTGTAGATTCTATGAAAGAAGATTCAGTAATCACCCTCAAACTCTCTCTCTCTCTCTCACCATGTACCTATATTACTTTCTAGAATTTTAAATCTGTGCCGTTGTGTTCTATAGTTGCGTGTTAATTCATGTGTAGTGCAACCGCTGAGTTTTTTTTTAAATTACTGATCCTCATGGGATCAATCATTCTAGCCTTAGCTAAATTCTTATTTTCTTATCATCTGACTTGGCCAGAAAAGATCAGCAACAGAGATCTCTGGCAATGAGCGAACCAACCAGGAACCGATTGTGAAACAAATAGGCAGGAAGAAATGGAGATGGATTGGCCATACTCTGAGGAAACCATCAGGTGACATCACTAGACAAGCCATTGCTCGAGTGGAACCCGAAAGGGAAGCGGGTGGCGAGTTGGTCGTCAGTGCAAGGGTGACTGACTTGGAGGAGTTCATGTGAGGAGGAAATGAAAGCATGTGGGTGGCAGACTTGCAGCGGAGTGAAAAAGTTGTCAGAAAGCAGAAGGCAATGGAGACGCGCAGCTGAAGCCCTATGTTCCTCTAGGAACTAAAGGATAGAATAATAATAAGAATAATATCATCTGACTACTCTCGATCTACTAATTTGACGTGTATAGTTTACCTCATTCACAGTCATTGGAAGGTATTATGTAAATTATATTATTTTGTTTAATTGAGGCAATAGGGTCGTCTAACATACAAAGCTTGTCCTACTCGCCTGAGTTTGTAGGTTTAAATGCCACCCTAATTCCTACTCTATCAACAATCCTACGTAGGGTCTCACATGTCCCCTGTTTACATGTTAAAAACCATGGTAGATGCCTTATATTCTTTCTTATTTATGCTCTCATTATTAGTTTCACCATTATTTTTGTTTTGCTATGTGACCGTTTTTCATCTTCCTAATGAGTTTTACAGGATAGCTAGTTATTTAACACTATTCAGTTATCCTCCTACCTGTTTTATTTCATCACTTAAGTTTTTTGTGTTGTATTACTCAGTGCTATTACTAGATTTGGTAGGCATGCCTTAACAAAGCTTTTCATTTCATATGAATTTCTGAAGCGAGTACATTTCTGAACTCGATCTGAAACAAGTAAAACGTCTGTCCAATGCCTATATCATTTTGACCTGGTTGGCCAGCAAGAACCACTGGTTAATATGAGTCGTATCTGACTACTCGTCTCAATGGAACAGTAGTAGATAGTTAGAATTTACTTGCCATCGGATTCCCCCCCCCCATCAAGTTTCTAAATGGTCAACGAACCCACCTAGTAGTCTGAAGATCAGCAGTTCGATCTCTGGCAGGGTCTGCAAACGAAAAGAAAAGAATGATTCCCTATGCCTCTAGTTTTTATATGACCCAGTAAATGAAGTCAGCTGATTCTAGCAGTTGAAGCCAATTATATCCCTGCAAATCAACTATCGACAATGAAGTGTTTTTTTCGAAGTTTGATGTGGTCATAACTTTGAGCACAGATTTCGAAAATATTAAGAATTTGCTCGATATATTCTGTTTTATTGAAATGCTGCCGAGAACATCAAAATTCAAGCTAAGTATTATTTCAGGAATCTGCAGAGGAAACATGCTTGAAAATGGTGGTAAGACTATACATACTTGTCAGAAAGAGGAAAACATAATAGCTCTAATTTATCTAATACAAGTACTTTCAGAAGTCAGTCAGAACATTTGGATCACAAGTGTACGGGCAGACTGATTTTGAGCTTTGTTCATATATTACTGTATTCAAAAATGCGTTTCCTTCTGCTCATTATAATATGACTGTGGCATGATGCAGATGGATAGGAAGCGTCCAAAACAAGAATCAACATTTTTTTTATTACAGCTTGATTCCACACTGTATTTTTGGTACATGTATGGAATTTTCAGCGTGGATATCGGTAGCCCAAATTTCGCAGGCCGACCATTGATATCAGGTGTGCGTCAGTGAGGGCTCGAACCCCGGACCATGTGCGTGGTCGGCGAGAGTCCTAACCACTGTGCCACCGACGCACAGATCATTGACTGCAAAGTTAACATTGTGGACATGAAATAACCTCGTTGGACAATTTATTTAACCTTAGATAAGTAGCCAACCAATCAGAACAGTCTATTTCCCTCTAACCTAGGTAAACTTCAATGCGGCTGAGAATGTAAACGTCCTTTATCAAGTCGCTTATCTACTCCTGATGATTTGTGTGTTCAGTATTGAAAAGCAGAAGACAACTCAATTGACTTTAAATGTTGGTTTGTAGTAATTTGATTGATTGGTTACAGGATTTCATCATGAGTTGAAACTGGTTATAGAACCATCGGAAAACTTGCAAGGAGTAATGGACAGCTAATTGTTTCGTCCTAGTTTGGACTCTTCATCAATACGCACCCACCGTCAAGATTCGAATCCAGGACCTTCTGAATACAAGGCGAACTCGTAGACCATTAAGCCACCGGGACCCGATCCAATAGGTTTGAATCCCGGTGGGTGCGTACTGAAGAAGAGTCCCAAATTAGGACGAAACGACGGTCCAGTACCTCCAGGTTTTCCAATGGTTCTCTAACCAATGTCAGCTCATGATGAAATCGTGTAATCAATGGGCTTAAGCTTCTTTTAACCCCTCCCTATCGGAATGATATGACCTCCACTTTTTTTCCAATTACTTCAACAACTTGAGGCTCTTTTTCGAATGTTGATTCACAGCGATTTGATTTTTTTTCAGGCGTGAAGAAAAAACTGACTTCAGTCAGAGAATAGCTGGGAGACAGTGATTACTGGAAGAAGCTGAGGTCATGATTGCGCTGTCTGAAGATTTCGAAATTAGGAAGAAACAGTTGTCCAATGCTTTTTAGTCTATAATCGTTCTCTAACTCAAGACATATCCTGGTCAGTCTTGAAATTAAGGGTTCATCTGCTCATTCAAACCTTTTTTAACGCAGTTTATACTACTGATTTATTTATTTAAGTAGATGGAGTATTAAGTAAAAAAATAAATAAGTAATTCATATGAACTGTGATCAACATTTGACTGAATAGTTCGTAAATAACTGGATGTCAGGTGAGACGTAGGCATGAGTAAAAAATTTGCCGACTGTACTCTTGAATCAAATATTTTTCTCCACAGCCTTTATAAAGGATATTTAAAAAGTGAAGATAAGGATAAATCAAAACCTACTGCTAAGAAGTGGGTTAGTAATACACTGGTGATCCTTTATCGCAAAAGAAACCTCAGATGAAGTAAAGCGAATTATTAATATTCATGAAATAAGAGTGTGCAATGGAAACTTTACTTTCATCACTGGTGAAGGTTCAAGATAATATTAGATGGTTAGAGGCAGTCGGCAGGAATCCTTTATCCACCTAAGTTTCGTGCTAGTGGGCATTCGACAGAAAGGTGTATCTGCAACCTCGAAAGAACTCATGTCCCCCTTCTTAGATGAGAACCCCCGTCACCCGAGCGCTGCAGTCACAGACGTTACCATTACTGAGCTATTCGGGCTCACGGTTGACCTCCTGTAGGGCTGTATTTCATACTTTGTCTGAACAGTAGTTCTGATTGCATCGACTCAGAACTTGACTTCCTGAAAGCCACACTCACAGAAAACGGTTACCCTAACCGATTTATTGACAACAACATGAAAGATAAGCAGCCTAAACTGGTCAATGACTCAGTTCCAAAGAAAACCTTATTCGTGAACTTGGAATTCAAAGGAGATCAAGCTTCAGATATGCTCAAAAATCGTCTTTCTAAATCAGTTAGTAAAACGTTGCCTACAGCTAGATTACATATGATGTTCACGAGCCGCAAATTGTTCTCTACCTCTGTAAAAGATAAGCTCCCCCGTCTGACCGCCTCCATGTGCATCTATCAGTTCACCTGCTCTTGTGGAGCAAGGTACATTGGCCGTAGTCAGAGAATGCTTCCCACACGGATACGAGATCATATTCCAGCTTGGTTTTACAAGGGAGAAAGGAAATGTGTGCGAAGCTCTATCTTAGAACACCTCATCGACTTCGGTCACTCGGTCAACCCTGACCATGATTTCAAGGTCATATATAGAATTCATGCTAACTTCCCGCGTTTTCTTTTTTACAGACTTCTAAAGACAGCTAAGGCCCTGGCAATTCATGACTTTAAGCCAGCGATACCTTTGTGTACAAAAGAAGTATGTACTATCCCTACTGCTGCCTTGGCCGTAGAGGGATAGACATTTATTTATTTAGTTATTCTTGTACTATACTATTACTTCGATTATTATTATTATTATTATTATCATTATTATTATTACGACTCTCATTCTGAATCTTTTCCACATGACTTATTTGACATCTTGAGCCAAAAATTATTCATGTGTATACTTTTTATCTTTATTTTTACAATATTAAATTCTATGTTATCAAATTTCACACCATGTTACGTAACATTTTACATTCGTCTATTAATCTTACAATTATATTCCTCTCCCCAAAATCTATACACCTGATGTATTATCTTATATATGACATTAATTATTGTTCCACTTGACTTAAACTATGAACCTAATCTCAAATATTCTGAATTTATTTCATACTATTATTATTTCATGTATTTACACCTTTGACCTAATTCCCTCACCGGATATAATTTCTTGTAATGAAACCATATATATACGATTGTACAGCTTGATAATAAATTCGTTGAAAAGAGTCTCTTCTCTGAAAATTGTGTTCTTAATGCTACAATGGGAATTATTAAATTGCATGGAGGATTTAATCATGAGCTGACATCAGTTAGAGAACCACTGGAAAACCAACTGGGAGTACTGGACAGCCAACTGTTTCGTCCTAGTTTGGGACTCTTCAGCAGTACACACCCACCGGGATTCGAACCCAGGACCTTCTGGTTACAAGGCGAGCTAGCTCGTAGACCATTGAGCCACTGGGACCCGATCGAATGGTCCTTGAATTCTAACTTCTGCCAATTCACGACATAGCGCGACCACTTCGCAATGTCTTCTTCGATGAGTTACTGCCTCATCTTCAACCTGCTGTACCCTACTGGTCACGGCTTGAAAATTATTAAATTAATGAACAGTAATTACTGGTTACTGTCAAATCAAAGTAAGGTTGAGGATGAAATAGAAGAAGACAGGCAACATAAATACGTTTAACAGATGAATTGTAGAGATTGTGACTCTGTTTATATATATACATATATGTATGGGAGTAACTTACAGACAGGTAAATGTATGAATAAAGTAGTATAAACACCGTCTAAAGGTGGTTGCAAATAACTCTACAGATTTGAAGAAGCTAGTAAAGAGACCGATGATTCTACCACACTTGACCAACGTTCTACAGAAATGTTCTGATTCATATGAAGAAACGCTGACTGCAGAAATCCTACATACATATGTGCGTGAATCCCCTTAGCTGGAACAGGCATGGAGGTAAGATGTGTAACTGATGCTTGGCAAATCCTGATTAATAAATTTAACAATGGATATGTAACACTAATTAATCATACTTGATCTCAATTCCTAACAAAGGTTTTATGACTGTTTACCCACACACACACACACACACACACACATACACACACTATTGTGTACTGCATATACACGTATAGATTCATATTCATTTATTTACGACCATGAACTATTAGTCGAAAACAATCGCTAAAGTTCTGATACAGAAGTACACACTGATTACAATGTTTAACAAAAGTAGACTAATTTTGGAAGTCTGGGGTCAAATTTTGATCCCAGCTCATGCAATTTTGTTTATTATACACGTTGATGCCTGTTTCATGACTCATGTAATTGGAGAAGGTTCTTAAGACAAGACGTGTCCATGAAGAAGTTCGAACCAGTTTACTGGATGAAACTGTTGGAATTACTTATTTCAGTTTCGCCAGGATTATACAAATGCATACATAATGTTAACATATATACAAATAATCAGGTTATTATTAAAGTAAATTACAAAAAGCAGTACATGTTCATTGAAACTTACATGATGTAGTTGGCGTATTATCTTAAAAAAAATATAAAACAGAAAGCTGATTGAGTAGTCTGTTACTTATTTAGTATCAAACCTCCAATTAAAACTCAATATTTCATCATGAGCTGACACTAGTTAGAGAACCATTGGAAAACCTGGGAGTACTGGACAGCCAACTAATTCGTCCTAGTTTGGGACTCTTCAGCAGTACGCACCCACCGGGATTCCAACTAGCCTTGTAACCGGAAGGTCCCGGGTTCGAATCCCGGTGGGTGCGTACTGCTGAAGAGTCCCAAACTAGGACGAAACAGTTGGCTGTCCAGTACTCCCAGGTTTTCCAGTGGTTCTCTAACTAATGTCAGCTCATGATGAAATCCTGAAACCAATCAAATCCCAACAAACCATCACTTAAAACTCAATAATTATTTAATTCAATTTTAGATTTTCCCGTCGATTCATTGAACCGAAGTACTCACTTTCAGGTTGACGTGTTGGCTCCTCCTTGTGCGGAGGCTTCGACAATGTATGGGCATGTAATCAGACATTAATTGGTGGTTGGTAACGAGCAGTGGAATCCAGTGAGGATGCGCATTTTGGTCCTATTTAGGACATGTTTGCCAGCTGGATGTATATGCATCCAATCAATCCATGGGATTGACCTGTTGCACGAAAGGTAGCTGTCATGGCCCAAAATGGTCTAGTGGATAATGCTTTGGCGTTTGAAACTATGGGCACTGGATTCGAGCCTCGGTGGGAACATCAACACTCACTCACTGGGGGAATGCAGGCATATCCAGCTGGTGGAGGAGTTCCAAATAGGACGAAGTGCGCATTATCCCCGGTGGATTCCAGTGCTAGTCACCATCCACCAAATAACTTCTAAAAGCTCAATAAAATTGAAATTATACCTTTTTTATGGGTATTTGGACTAATTTGAATGAACATTTTGCCATGAACCAGCGTCAGTTACAGGTCACTGAAAATTAAATAACAATAGACAGCTGTTTTTCTGCATATTTAGATAGTTTCCAACTGTGCGTACCCAGAGCTTCACCGAGGATCAGGCCTAGCACCCTAAGCAATTCTAGATGGATTTCAGTAATTCCTGAAGTCCTGCACTTTTGTCAGTTTGTGCTATAATGGTAGAATAAATCAGTGGTCATCTACCTCATCTTAACATAGTGGACTCTACTGGCCATAACTTTTCAGTGTAGCTTCATGACATCTTAGATACGCACTGCTGAAATGCTGCCCACTAGGAAGTAATAGCTGTCCACTTCAACTTTTGTTGTTTAATTCGTGTCTTTTCTATCTGAGATTTGTAAATATCACATTCCGCCTAATCTTAGCTTCATTATTTTGCAAAAGACTATTTCTCTGTAACATTTTTCAAGCTTTAGCTTCCTTGAAGAATTTTTGTGTTATTTATTGATACAGCTTGTATTACCTGTTTTGGTATATGAAATCGAATGTCACTTAAGAACCTCGTAACTTTACTGTTACAATGCTTTCATTCGTTCCTTGATACTTTAAAGGTCTAGTATGGATTCCTAGCCCCACTTCGAAGCTCACACTTTTTCCGGGCATACTTCTAGACAGTTCAACTAATGGAGATTCTGCAATGTGTCAGTCTGGAATAGAACTCAGGCCTGTCGAGTGATTCTCCTACACTCGTACATTCAAAAACATGGACGTACTGATAGCAGATAAGTATAGAGCATGACAATTGTATGATCTATAAGAAAAGGGTGATCGTTTGTCAACATGATTACGAAGCATGAAAATGAAATTCATTATTATCATTCACTAGTACTTGGCTACTGAATTCAGGGGATTCACACAGGAGAAACATATTCCTCTACGTTGTATTCAACCTGATGGTAGAGGTATACTATTTGATTCAACTCAAACAGCCAAATCACTTGATGGTAACAAGAAGAACACATAACTTCATTTGATCCAACCGTGTAGACCTGAATAGGCAGCTAAGCTTGTTTACACCACTGGTTTTAAATACAGTTCGGAACTCTTGGTAATACTCATCCACGGCGGTTCGAATCCAGTACCCTGCAGTTATAAGGTGAGTGAGCTCATAGACCATTCAGTCACTGGGAATCGCCAATCCAATGACTCCCACCCTCAACCAAGTCACGATATAGCACCACCACTGGCCAATGTCATCTGCTAGTATTTTTCCTAACAACCTACCCGCATTACTCTACTGATCGCCTCCAAAGCCTCAGGATGTTCGGGGGTGGGTTTCTTGCGCTGCGGGTTAGCCACCCCTCCGTACACCTCTTGAAATGCTCCCATATGACAGTGCGTCTTACATAACCTCTCCTGAGGAAGTCCTACTCACTGCCTTCACGTGGCGGAGGTGTTTATTTCACCGAAGTGAGAGGGCAAAAGCGGATGCCCGGCGCTCTTCACCGGGTTGACTGTCCATTGGATGACAGTCTAGGGGAGATGGCTAAACCCTGATTCCGAACCTCCAACGACTGGCGTATGAAGCTCACCGGAGTTCACCGGCAGACGTATGGACAAAGGGCTTATTGGATGCCCTGGATGTCTGGCCCAATTCAAAAAGGCGTATGAACCGGACTCCGGTCACCGGCTACCAATGGATAGTGGACTTACTACTCCACTCCTACTGCCTTGTAGGTCACACTTGGTTGTGTAAAGGCTAGAGCTGTACTCTCAAACAAAAGGCCGAGCGATGCTGGGGACATCACTCGTACCCAATTCCCATGAAACTTCATCAACTCTCTTACAAACATTCGAGATGTTCATGAAGCCGGTTCATCCTCCCGTAGGAGATAGCCGAAGTAAAGTAAGTAAAGTAAGTAACTGATCACGACTTCTCACCAGAACCCGAGTAACTACCTACCTGAATAGAACCAGTCACTAATGGGCATCAAACTAATACTCAAGTGTTGGTTTTTCGGGATAAGATTGGATACACGATTTTATCATGAGCTGACATCGGAAGGTCCTGGGTTCAAAACCTGTTGGTGGTTGTATACTGTTGCAGAGTTCCAAAATAGGACGAAACAGCTGTCCTATACTCCCTGTAAGTTTTTCAGTGACTCTCTAACCAGTATCAGCTTATGTTTAAAGTATTTGAATAGAAATAAATAAAGACGCCTCAGTGATCATTAATTTGAAAGATGGGAACGGTACACGAATTATGAAACTCACCTGGACTACTTGACTCAGAAGCTGAAAAATATAAGAAAGAAAATCAGTTGATTGATTGACTGATTAGTTACTTAGTTATATAACAATTCCACTCACAGAAATATGTAAACACATCTTGGAATTTTATTTCAGCAATTTATTTTCTAAATATAAATTTATACGCCTAAGGTGAAAAATTCAAAACTTTTGAATTCATGAATTCTACGGCAATGCAGCAGTAACAAGCATAAATCACCGCCAGTGGGAGAAGTGTTCCACTCACTTGGCTAGACACTACAGCTCTTGCTGATGAGGATACCGGATCGGAGATGCAAGAGAGACGTCCATTCTCCTGAAATCAGTATGGAAATCTACTGCGCTAACCATCAGAAACAAGATTCAGATCTTCACCAGTAGTGTCAAGTCAGTTCAGAGGCTTGGCGCATCACGAAGAGCATTTACAACAAGTTACTGCAAGCACTCATCAAGAGCTCTACTCATCTTCGCTCTATAATGGAGGTCAGATGGTTGAAGGGGGGAAGTACTAAGGGAGTCTGGAAGCGAAACAACAAAGGACCTGTCGCTTGACAAATGTGCAGAAGTAAATATAGATGGATTGGAAACACACACTGAGATTCATGCGCCAGGAATCTACGAGTTAGGCATAGTTGCGAGGATGGTGAGGAGGGGATCACATGAAGAGGAAATGAGATACGAGGGAATGTCCTGGAGCCAGCTAGAGAGTACTGTAGAGGACAGTAAGCACTGGAGAGAACCACTGGAAAACAGGGAGTACTGGACAGCTAATCCGTCCTATTTTGAGTCTCGTGTGTAGTACGCACCCACCCGATTCGAATTCAGGACCTTTCTTTCAGGACTACAAGTCATGCTCGTAGATAGATCATTCGACCACTAGGACACAATTCATTAGCCAACCAATAAATTCTAACTTCCGCCAATTAGTGATTCTAGAGCGAACACCAGCCATTTTCATCGGCGAGTGGACCCCACTGGTCTGGAGTTCTAGTAAGAAGTTCAAATCTGTTGAAGTATAATTAAGAATAGAGCGTTCTAGTCGGTTATCACTGTCCAAGTTGGCAGAAGAAGCATCAAAGATAGGACTTCAAGTGAACAAAGATAAAACAGAGGTGATGAAGATTCCTAGCCAACATCAACAACAACAACAACAGACAACAATCAGCATAAATGGGAAGAACCTGAAAGAAACAGCCTCCTTCACCTACCTGGGAAGTATAGTCTCAACTACAGGCCGACGGAACTGACGAGGATATCAAAGCCAGAATCGGAAAAGCAAGACAAGCTTTCATTACTCTCAAATCTGTGTGGAGGTCAACAGCACTCAGCATCAAAAATAAGATCCGGATTTTCAACTCCAATGTGAAGTCAGTCAGTGCTACTATACGGATCAGAGACTTGGCGAGTCATAAAGAGCATCTCAAACAAACTTCAGACCTTCATTAACAGCTGTCTTCGCTCAATACTCAAGATCAGATGGCCAGCCAGAAAAGATCAGCAACAGGGTACTCTGACAGTGAGCGAACCAATCAGAAACCGATTATGAAACAAATAGACGGGAAGAAATAGAGATAGATTGGCCATACGCTGAGGAAACCATCAAGTGACATCACTAGACAAGCCATTGCTCGAGTGGAACCCGAAAGGGAAGCGGGCGGCGAGTTGGTCGTCAGTGCAAGGGTGACTTGGAGGAGGTCATGTGAGGAGGAGATGAAGGCATGTGGACAGACCTGGAGAGGGGTGAAAAGGTTGTCAGAAAACCGAAGGCAATGGAGGTGCGCAGCTGAAGCCCAGTGTTCCTCTAGGAACTAAAGGATACAATAATAATAATCACTGTCAAATAACCTGAAAGAAAAGATCGCGTTGTCTTACGAAGTTGCACAAATATTATTCCATGCAGTTGAGAAGAGGTGGAAATGGCGCTAAAAGAAGCCTAGTAACTACCCATCTGATGGACACTGGTCACCTTATTTCTACAATCCCTCATTTTATTATTATCTTAATCCTAATTTGAATACTTTCCGTTAACTTGTTAGCTATGTATATATATGGATACGATTCTACAGCTTGATAATGAATTCGTTGAAAATAGTTTGCTCACTGAATCACATCTTCGAATTTTCTATCTAACATTGAAATTAACCAATGAGTTCTTGGTATAACTTTTCCATCTTAATAAGGAACTATATATAGACAAATTGACGGTGTGGCAATGCGGTCACCACTAGGACCCATTCTAGCCGACATTTTTCTTGCGAAACTAGAAAATGCGTTTCTGAAGGATGTTATTAGTGAGCTCAGATTTTATTGTCGGTACATGGATGATACTTTTTTGATTATGAAAAACGTGAAGGAAGCTAAGAGCACCCTGGATAAATTTAATGAGGTATATCCTGCAATAAATTTTACTATTTGGAAAGAAAAAGACTGTAGTATTCCATTTTTGGACATCTTTATGACCAGAAAGGAGGATGGCGCAATAAGAAGAGGAAGTGTTTATAGAAAACCTACATCAATGGACCAGTACACACATTTTCTCAGTTTTGTGCCCTTAAAATACAAACGCAATTTGATAAAGTGCCTGGTTCACATAGCAAGAGCGATTTGCTCGGACAAATGTCTTAATGAAGAACTGAATAATATTAAACGGTTGCTTAGTGAGAATGGTTATCCTGAAACGTTTATTGATAAGAATATAAATTTGAAACCAAAGCAGCCAAAGTTATCAACAGTTCCAAAAAAGGCCTTATTCTTAAAGATGCAGTTCCTTGGGGACAACACTAGAGAGATACTAACAAAGTGCATTAGAAATGCGGTAAAGCGAGCATTCCCAGCTGCTGAATTACGCTGTGTCTTCAAAACCACTCCTCTTTTACGTCCGGGAGTGAAAGACAAACTGCCTAATTTCACCTCTTCCATGTGTATTTACTAATTTAACTGCTCCGGTGGAGTGAGCCAGTTATATAGGCCGCACAATTAGGCGTGTTTTCCTAACATTACCCTGCGTGGTTAAGCAAAGGTCAAACAAAATCTATTTGTAGCGCTATTCTGTCTCATCTTGTGGAGACAGAACACAAGATTGACGTCAACCATGCTTTCAGGGTCATTTACCGCATACCTAGGAATCTCAATTCTGCCTTAAGATTTCGACCACTAAATACTGCTGAGGCTGTGGGGATCCATATTAAGAAGCCTATTTTATGCATCCAAAATGAGTTAGTTCAGACATTATCATTCCCTTGGTCATCCAGGTTTGAATTATCCTGAATTTTTGTGTAATTTCCCTAATTTTAGTTGATATTCTATTCGTTATTTTATCTTTATTACTATTATAATTTAAGTATTTTCAGTGAACTGTAATTCCATTGTGATCATACTTTACAAATCGATATTATTTAAAAAACACTGATATTGTTATTAACTACAATTCTAGAATACTCTATGTATATAAACATGTGCATATAATTGTAGAGCCGGAAGAGGAATTTATCGAAAAGGATATTCTTTGCTCAATTATTTTGTCTTTTTTATAGATATCTGAATGAATATTTTTCCATCTAAGATTATTTCACATTATCAAACAAATACCGCTGAATATTTTAGAGAGAGTAGGATGAACGAGGAGTTCGGAAAAGAAAATGCCAACATATATACAAATGAATAAGTAGTCAATGGAACTTACGATCTCCTGAAGTCTGAGCCACTGAAATCAATGAAAATAAAATAAAATTTTTATATTTTAACTACATCAATTTATGTAAATATCTATTCTAAATTGAGTTTTCTGTTCTTTATGATATAGTCTGAGGAACAACCGCCAGGTTAAATGTTCCTCTTCTAGATGGGCAGTACAAAGAAAAGTAGTCATAATTGTCGTCCGTGAACCTCTCACACTGACAGAAGCTGGAATCTATAGGCGCTTAGATTCTGCCCAAGTGACTTACGTCGTTACCTGAAAGCCTTGGGTTCGACCCCTAGTGCGGGGCCATGTGGTGTTACTGCTGAAGATTCTTGAACAATGAGGTCACAGCTATCTAGTACTTCCTAGTCTTTAATGGCTCTGTCGCTGATCAGACTTGAGATACTTATTTTCTCAGATGAGTTGTGGAATTTTTGAACTAGAGACCAACTTGGCATAAAAACTCAGGTGTCATTTCATTTCGTCTGAAACTGAGCTTATCACTGAACGTACCATGATCAACTGAGATGGCTGGGTTATTTCGATTCAATAAAATTCTGGCGTCGGTGGCACAGCGGTTAAGACGCTCGCCGACCATGCACCTGGTCCTAGGTTCGAGCCCCGGCCGGCCCACGCCTTTACCTCGCTAAGCCAGTAGTGAGACTGGTAAAGAGGGAAGGTTGGGCATGGGGCTAGCACCCCCATCCTGTAAAAATCAACACTGCTACAAAAACTTTAAGCCACTAGCTTGAAGCCCTATGTTCCACTGGGAACGTGAAGGAAAAAAAAGAAAAAGAATTCTGGCCATCTGCTTTGGCGAATACAGTTCATTGTTTGTTTGAATCACCTCGATATGTCCAGCAAGCACAACTTATTATAAGAACTCAGTCATAGGACAAAGCTGTCCATTGAAGAAATTATTTTAGGGATTCAGTTATGCCTCATATCTACTATCTTTAAGTTCCAAGTAAAATATATAGACAAACAGAAGGTGTAGCAATGGGATCACCAATATCCCCTATCGTAGCAGACATATTTATGGACAGCTGGGAAAATAGTGCCCTCAATACATTTAACCCTACTCCGAAAATATGGTGGAGATATGTGGATGACACTTTCACAGTGTTAAAAACAGAACACATCTCTAGCTTCCTGACACATATAAACTCACAAGTTGAGGGAATAAAATTCACATTTGAATCAGAAAATGAACAAGGAGAATTAGCTATGTTAGATTGTAAGATAAAACAAATAGAAGGCAAACTACACACTGGTGTTTATAGAAAACCAACGCATTCTAATAGATATTTAGACTTTAATTCGTCTCATCCTTTAACTGTTAAGGCAGGCTTAGTTAAATGTTTAACAAACCGAGCAGTGGCACTAAGTAGCACAAAAAAAGATGTAAATGATGAATTAAAACAGATAGAAGAAACGTTGGTGTTGAATAACTATCCTATAAAATTCATTAGGAAGATCACTAAAGGCCAAAAACAAAATAAAAATAATTGTGAAACTAGTAATAATAAGGTAAATAAGAAAGAATATAAGTCATCCACAGTTATACCATATAAAGAGGGGACATCTGAGACACTATGTAGGATTCTGAATAAAATAGGAATTAGGGTGGCATTTAAACCTACAAACTTATTCAGGTAGGAGAAGCTCTGTAGGTTAAAGGACCCAGTTGACCCAATTATACAAAATAATATTATTTACAAAATACCATGCAATGACTGTGAGGTCAACTACATAGGTCAAACTAGTAGGTCAGGGGTAGTCAGATTGTCAGAGCATAAAATTTAGCTAAGGTAAGAATGGTTGACCCCGAGAAGATAAGTAATTTAGAAAAAAATTTAGAAAGAAAGTAATTACTGTATCTCATTCCTAGATATCTTCATGGCAAAGAAAGAAGATGGCACACTAAGAAGGAGTGTGTACAGGAAACCTACTACAACAGAACAGTACACTCATTTTTTGAGTTTTGTACCTTTGAAATATAAACGTAACCTGGTAAAGCGTCTGGTTCATAGAGCTAGGTTAATCTGTTCAGACGACTGCTTCAATGAGGAGCTTAATATTATTAGAGAATTACTCAGAAAAAATTGTTATCCAGATAAGTTTATTGAGAAAAATACGAATTCATCACCTAGGACAGTGACTATGGCAACAGTTCCGAAAAAACCACTGTTCATAAAACTTCAGTTCCTCAGCGACAACATCAGCGAAATAATAACACAGCGACTGAAGAATGCAGTTAAAAGAGCTTATTATGCAGCAGAGGTACACTGTCTCTTCACAACCACACCTATCCTACGTTCGAGTAATAAGGATAAACTACCTAAATTCGCCTCTTCTATGTGTATCTACCAGTTTGACTGCAGCTGCGGAGCCAGGTACATCGGGCGAACAATTAGGCAGGTTCATCATCGTATTTCCGAACATCATCCGGCATGGTTAAGCAAGGGACAAACAAGATCTATTCGTAGCTCTATTTTAGCCCACCTTGTAGATAGTGAGCATAAGGTTGATGTTAATACTGCATTTAAAATTATTTATCGCATTCCTACTAATCTTAATTTTGCTTTACGAGTTCGTCTTCTACATACAGCTGAAGCAGTAGGAATCCACCTGAAGAAGCCAAACTTGTGTGTTCAGAAGAAATTTGTACAGCCACCTTCCTTACCTTGGCCATCGTTACATGACTGTATAAACCGGACTACTCCATCACCATTGAGACTTTATCAAAACAAAATTTACCCATAATGAAACACAACTTGTGACTGATGTCAGATGAGGTTAGCTGGTCATATCAGTTATTAGTACACACCATCATTATTTATAGTAGCATTTAAGTAATATCTAATGAGGTGGCTCTCGTGGCCCAAGTGGTCTAGTGGATAACGCTTTGGCGTTTGAAACTATGGGTGCTGGGTTCGAGCCTCGGTGGGAACATCATCACTCACTGAGAAATGCAGGTACATCCAGCTGACGAGTCCCAAATAGGACGAAATGCGCATCCTGGATTCCACTGCTAGCCACCATCCACCAAATGTATACTAATTAAATACCCAGACATCGTCGAAGCATCTGCACAAGAATGTCAACGACATGTCAACCTGAGACCGAGCACTTCGGTCCAGTCAGTCGACGGGAAAATCAAAAATGCAATTCAATGATTACTATTATTGTTGTTTCCCTTAGTTCCTAGAAGAACATAGGGATTTAGCCACACGTCTCTATTGTGTTCGGTTCTCTGCCAACGTTTTCACCTGGTTATACGTCTCCCCACATGCTTTCATCTCCTCTTCACATCACTTCCTCCCTCACGTCACCCTCGGACGACCAACTCGATGCTTTCCGTTTGGGTTCCACTCGAGCGATAATCTGGCGTGTGGTGTCACTTGTTTGTTTCCACAGAGTATGGCCAATTCATCTCTATTTCTTCCTGCTTATTTGTTGCACGATTGGTTCCTGCTCCCAGAGATCCCTATTGCTGATTCTTTCTGGCCATCTGATCTTGAGTATTGAGCAAAGACAGCTGTTGATAAAAGTCTGTAGTTTGTTAGAAGTGCCCGTTGACACGCGGCGCCAAGCCTCTGATCCGTATAGTGAGTAGCACTGACTGACTTCACATTGGAGTTGAATATCCTGATTTAATTTTTCATGCTGAGTAGGGCTGTTGACCTCCACAGAGACTTGAAAGTAATGAAAGCTTGTCTTGCTTTCCCCATCCTTGCTGCTTTGATATCCTCGTCAGTTCCGTCCACCTGTAGTTGAAACGATGCTTCCCAGGTAGTTGGATGAGTAGTTATAAAAAGGAGGTTGTTTCATCCAGATTTCTCTCATTTATGCTGGCTGGTTGCTGTCTGTTGTTTTTGTTACCGGTGGCCAAGAATCTTCATCAGCTACCTGTATCTTCGCCATATTCACCTGAAATCCCTCCTATCTATCATTCTTCTTCTGGCGACTTGATTCTTTTCACTTGCATATATTCCATTTTGTGAGAAATCAGACAAATATCATCGGAAAAGTCCAGATCCTCCAAGTTTTTTGTGTGGGTCCATTTTATGCCTGTTTCCTCGTTGCCAGGTCCGTTGTCTGTCACATTATCCAGTCTACCGCAATCACGAAAATCATTGGAGATAGTAGGCAGTCAGCCTGCCATCCTTGTCTCACTCCCATCTTCACTTCTTCAAAGGATTCCGTGAGTTTCCCGTTGTGGATTACTTAGCGTGCAGCATTGTCGTACAACTGTTGGATGAGAGGTATAATTGTTGGTGGCACCTCATAGTAGCGAAATAGTTGTCAAATCACCTGTCGGTCGACTCTGTCGAAGTAATAATTATAATCTCTCGTTTTACTTTGTATATTCGGTTACTGACTTATAAACTTTTCAAGTTCTTCTCTGACATATGACTCCAGTGGTTCTCTAACTGATGTCAGCTCATGATTAAATTCTCCACGCAATCAAACAAAATCCCTAGAAAACCAATACTTGAAAATAGTATATCTGTTGTTATATCAAAACAAAGTTTACTAACTTGATCATCGTTCGTTAGTCTGGGTTCATTTTTGGTTGTCAAGTTGGAGAATAGGTAAAGGTAACCAAACTAAGTGTAGATTGTGAAATACTCGATTATCGTTCGTCAGTATGAGGTCATTTTGGCTGTCAAGTTGGAGAATAAGTAAAGGTAACCAAACTAAGTGTAGATTGTGAAATACTCGATTATCGTTCGTCAGTATGAGGTCATTTTGGCTGTCAAGTTGGAGAATAGGTAAAGGTAACCAAACTAAGTGTAGATTGTGACATACTTGATCATTGTTCGTCAGTCTGGGTCGTTTTTTGTTGTCAAGTTTGCGAATTGGTAAAAATAATAAAATCAAGTGTAGATTGTTGGATTTTATCAGTGTGTAGAATTATGAAAGTAGTGTGTGTTTACATAGTGAACTTGCTTATCACATTTGTGTTGATTTTGCTACTTCATGGGGGAGGGGGGTGTTGTAGCCAGGTCAGATTCTGT